TTACTTTTCAAATTCGTAGGCAGCTTTTGAAAATTCCCAGAATGCTATGTCTAAGAGCCAAAATCTTTTTTATCACTGATCACTTCTTCTCAAAAACTTTTCTACTCTATAACTAATTGTATTCGAGTTAATTTTCATTCTAAAACATTCCGACCGAAAATTTATTAGAAAAAAAAATCTTAATCTCTAAAAGAGTTAATCTCTAAGAAGTTGTAGAATAAAATTAAATTGGAGTACAGTAATTAGAATGAAATAAAAAAAAATTTTAAGTAGATCTTGTTAGGCTTCATTATTTTTGAGTAGAGGTGGTCAGTAATAGAAAGGTTTTAAGTAGACATGGCATTCTGCCTAAAAAATAATAAATCGAGCTGATTTGTAAAACATATTGAAGTAACTTATTTTCATCCGGGATACAAAAAATAAAAATAGCCAATTTTTTACGTAACCGTAATAAATACATAACTATTGAGAAAAATACAACGACCGTTACGCTCAAGATAATGCACACCTGCAACCGTTAGCTTGATGCAATAAAGACCGCGTAGACTCAACATTCATTACGTGATACTGTATTAGAATATTGCATTAGTATATAAGTATTACGCACACATGAGTGCGTATATATGTATATATCAATAAAAGTACATATCGTTAATGTTCTTCCGGTGTGTCTCGCCTTTTCGGTCGGACCGTGTCCGGATGCTCATGTCAATCTTTAATTGTCTTTATCAATTCGTGTACCCCAGCAAATTAATTTATAAGTACAGTCTGACCTCTTTATAAGACTAAGTCAGAGTTGTAGGGGGGAATTCCTGAAATTCTAGTTACCCCACTATTGTATACTTGACAACATTGACCGTCCAAACTTTGCTACATAGAGACTCTTGGTGTTTTTGCTTAATTGTAAAAGAGACCTTTGTATTCCGGTTGAATTGCTCGACTTATATTAAAATATAAAGCTATGCTGTAAAAGAGAGTTTCAATAGCGTACTTTGTAGTATCGAATTCTTTGGAATCTTCGGTTGCTCTTATAGCGAGGTTCGACCACAAATTTTTTTAAGCGGTTGGGGAAAGCGCTTCAGTGGTTAAAACCAAGTTTTAATAATTTGAAAAATAATCTTTCAACGAAAATCGCGATTTCTGTGACTTTATTCGTGACTAACTTTTAACATGAGTTTATTTTGCGCGCACATTCCTAAAGAATATAAATTAAAAATTGTACGTACATGAGCTTAAATATTTATATAATTAGGTATACAGTTTGAAACTTTTTTTTTTATGCAAATTAATTAAAAAATTTTATCAATAACTATTAATAATGATTTTAGATATTTTATATATATAAATATATACCATATTGATTTTTTGTCTTAAAACTTTTCTTTAATTTCTAATTAGTATTTTGTTTATATCTAGATATTATAATTGAAAATTTCTAAAAGTTAGCCTATGATTTGAGTTTGAGTATTTTTTACATGTATATTAGGGTGTGCCAAAATTAAATTTCCGTGAAGAACTTTTTAAAATTGAAATTTTGAGTTCTGCTTTTAACAAGAGCTGTGTTTATAAACACAGCTCTTATTACAGCTCAGGATATCAGGAAATGTCTATAGACATTTCCTGAGATATTTTAGGTTGAGACGTTCGTATTTGATTTTCATAATAGAATTTTTATAATTTTTTCCGGCCGCTGTGGAGATATCTCACGGCCGGAAGTGCCCAAACAAAGCTCCTGTTAAAAATTCTATATATATAAATTTTTTATTTTAATAGGAAGTGTAGTTAATTAATTATAATGGAGCAAAGATTAAAGTCTCTCCCGATTAATATATACTAGTATAAATACTATAGGCTGCAATAAAAATTTTTTATTTGCATACTATTCCAAAACATTAACCGGATAAATTATATTTATATTTCAACATACATAATAAAGTGTAAGTATTATTGTGCTCATGTTCATACTTTTGTATGCACAATATATTAATTTAATCTAAACACAAATTACATTTATATTTATAAAAATATAAAATAATCTAAAATATTTTCTAAGGCCAGGGTCAATGACGATGCATTCCATGGCAGTTAAGTTCATCGTCCTCATTCTTCATCTCTTTCTGTCATTATTAAACTTACTATTATTTGTTTTTCATTATTATTATTATTATTATTATTATTACATTATTATTAATTAATGTTTCTTTATTTCGATAAAAGTGTCAAAAGTTAAGTCTTGTCTCGTCGGTAAATTTCTCTTGGAGTAGGTCGCAAAGAATGTCAGTCGCACTCTACACATCGGCAACTTTTATACCACACCAAAGACATCTTAACACGAATAAGAACAACAACAACGATGACGACAAATTCAATCGAGTAGTTTCTCTTCAGCTTCTTCTTTTGTCTCTTTTCTCACCTCACTTGTTTGTGCCGTTACCACTTGATGACAGTGTATTGGCGAATTGTATACATACGTATGCATAATACTATTATTACGTTTGTAACCGTTTAAGTTCGAGGCGCGCAGCATTTTATCTCTCTGACTGGAATTTCAGGGCTATGTAATCACATTGAAGTAAAGCCTTACCGTTCAAAGTATTACATCCTGCCTGTATAATATAATTCTGGAGTAGTATTTTATGTTTACGAATACTCATATAAACAAAGAATAAATTAGTATGCCAGTAATGATTATCGCTAAAAACCCGCAGATGTTAAAACCAATTACTGGTATATATAAATGATTTTGTCTCATCTGATAATGATAATGTATATTTACATTCGTCAAGTAAATCTGTGAATTATCGATCGTTTCAAACTACGAACCTAGTACTTGCGAATTCTCTCTGAAATAATTATTATTCTATTAACGTGCTCATCATTTTATCATATACTAATTATAATCGGTGTTTCTTTAGAAGTGAGGTTCACGCTATTTTGAGCAATAAAATTTTAAATGTTTATTTTTTTTTCTGTTTTACATATAAAAAAAAAAATTTTACAAAAAAAATTTTTAAATGTCAATGTTGATATTTTTTTTCAAAAAAATTTTTTTTAGCTAATCTATTTCTGATAAAACTTAAGAGAAAAAAATTTTGTATTCCAAAAATAATTATTAAAGATTGAATGTTATGGTCCCTACTTCTAAATAATAACTTTAGAATTAAGTTTATGTTGTTGACAATACTTATCTATTTTATGCAAATTCATGTTAACTGTGCTAATTTTATTGATTCAAGCGTAAAAAATATTTTCATTTACAATAAAAACAATCATTTTTCAAGTGTAAATGTTGTATTTATTTTTTTATTTATTGATAAATCTTTTAAGTGTGTAACAGCAGTGGATTTCATTTGTATTTTTTTATTTATTTATTGATTGAATTTAAAAATAAATTCATGTCAATGAAATACTTTGTTTTTTTTTTAGCATTATATAACGATAGATTCAACTCAGTGGTTAAACTGTCAATTATTGACGGATTCACGCGGAATAATCGAGCTATATATTATGTATGTACATCATACATATTTACAACCTTATTAAATAGTTGTACATCATAGTATTACATGATGCACTGTTTGTAGTTATGTATACTAATTTATTTTTATGTAAAATGTTATCATTTCTTATTTCTGATGTGATTTATATGTTTCGTAATTGCTGATAATTGATAAGGAAGTCTGATCAAGTTTAATATACGCAATGCACCGATAAGCGCATCAGGAAATTAACTCGATATAATATTTTGGGACATAAATATCTTGTATATGTATATGTATGAGTTTTATATTTATCAAAGTATTTTATTGATCAATCATTTTATCAAACATTTTTTCCTCTGTTTAATATGCAATTCAACAATTTATATTAATGTGAAGGTTTTTTATCATCAAAGTTAAGGTCAATAAAAACTGGATTTTAATTAAAAAATTGGACTCTGTTATTATGAGTTCTGTTAATTTAATATTAAATTAAAATATGCAGGAAACTTGACGACATTTCTTGGTTTTTAACAAACAGGTAGAAAGCGTATAAAATTACAGGAAGCATCGAGTTCGAGTTGATACAAAGTTTATATGATGGAAGACTCAGAGAATTGCGCGCAAGCTTTATATTATATTGGTAAACGTTGTACAAAAAAAAAAAAAATAAATAATGACATGATTGATATCAGCATAAAGAAAAAAAAATTGTTGAGTACTTTCACAGCTAACATCAAAGTTGATAATATAAAATAATAAACATACATGGTATTTTATAACTATCACGCAATTCATAGTACAATAGTACAAATGAGATTGAAGAATAGTTTATAAAAACATTATTCTATCACTTGAATCGTCGATAGATAGCACAAGTCATATTGTCTGTGTATGTGTTGCGCTTTATTACAATCATTATTATTATTATTATTATTATATTCTACACGGGATATTATATAGTTTACTGTAAACTAAAATATTATATTGCCAATCTCTATTTATTTCAATGATTCTAATAAAAGTCCGCAATTAAATAATTTACTTTGTAGCCGTGACAACTATTATTTAAAAAAAATTTATTATTTATGATTTATGTATTTAAAATAAAAAATAACTAAACATAAAATTTTAAACTATATAAATAAATGGATATCGAAAATATCGTAAATTTGAAAATTTTATGCCGTAAATTATTGAGTCATTGAAAAGCCATGGGTCACCAATAAATCAGGTAAAAGGTACAAGTGGCTTTTAAAGAGAAAAATAACTTTGTAGTTAAATGGTTGTAGAGTCAATAGATTGCAGAGGAAGCTGTACAGGTAAAGTGGATGTAGGCATGTTGAATAGAACGGAGCAAAATGAATGATTGTACAATCAAAAATATTATAGATGTAAAATTTATATTAGTTAGTCTTGTCTAGTCATCCAGTAATGTCAAATATCTATTTTTCTCTGTCCCGTCTCTCCCCATTCTCTCAGTCTGTTGTATGTTTTACGTTATATCCATCTCCATCTATACTACTGTAATTCTCCCCGGCACAAGGCGAGTTTAGGTGCAGCCGCACTAGTATCATCAGCTGCACGACCTTTCTCCCACTCATTATCCCGGCCAAGTATTACCAACACTATTTGCACATATCTTTCTTTAAACTTGTCTTCATTTTTCTCAATTATTATTTTTTTTTGTTTATCATCTGCTCTTATTGCTGTTGCTAAAATAACGATACTTATTCTGAAACAAAAAATTCTTCATTGAAAAAAATTATCTCTCGATGATTCAATAATTTATTTTTATTTGTTAAATGTTGAAAAATCATTTTGTTAAAAAAAAAAAAAAAAAACTTTTTTTTATATAAAATGAAACTTGATGATATATTTGAAAAAATATTTGTATTTTAAATGAGGAAATTGAATGTGCGCAATGAGTTATTTTTTAATGTAATGAAGTACTTTTTATTATATAAAAAAAAAATTATAAAATGTATGTTATTTTCAATGAGATAAAATTTGTTTTATGTTTATGATTAGCTCCGGGTACCAGAGCCAATTGATACGTACCTGAAAGCGGACTTTGATTTCTCCGAGTTGGCAATAGTGTTCTTTCGCGGAGTAGCTCGCGGTGTGCGCAACAAACAGTTGAGACTCGCGACACAACCAGTCACCAGGGTCGTTGTGTGTTACGTTGGCGTTAAAGTAAAAAAAAAAAAAAAAAATAATAAAATTACTACGTAAAGACAGACATTGAACGCGTCGTTTTTTTACTCACAAATATAAAAATACTCTTAGCACTGAAGTTTGACAGTTGTGACTTGATAATAACCCACGTGAAAATACAACAGTTTATTAATTAAAGTTGAGTAATATTTAACACAATATTATAAAATAAATATCAGAGGGAGTAGCCCGGGTTCAGTATATACAATAGTTTGAACATTGAGATCGAATCGAGGTGATATTTTTTCTCTCTCCACCACATCATATCTCTACACCAAGGAGAGTAAGATAAATGCTAATGAATAAATTTAAAGAGCAAGTGAGAACAATATCTCGTTGGTATTAACCAACTAACTGTTAGCTGTGAATTTTATAACTGAGTATATACCGAGCAATTTAAAGCAAAAGCATAAGTGAATAAAATGGTATGTGATTTCATTGGCATCATTCGTATCATCGCCCTCCAAGTCATATAGTTGTACAGTACAGAAAAAAAAAAAGATAGAAAGAGTGCATTAATAATTTTATATTTGTATATGGATCTGTTATAAGTGTCTGTGGCGTGTTTTTATATCAACTTCTGTCTGTTGAAAGTCTGATCAAGTTGTGCCAATTATAAAAGTGATAATTGATAATATTTTTTGTTTAGTTTCGTTAACAGTTTGACAGTTTGTTATTTTAGGTGGTTTTTTTATCCTGTTTAGTATGATATTGTGATAAGCCACCAAATTGTAAAATAACATACCTGGTGAGTGAATTTATCTAATTAATTTTTTTTTTTTTTTTTTTTTTTTTTTTTAGATTATTTTTATGGAAGATAAGGAAAGCTTTGATTTGGTTTGGTAATATATGCAATTCCGTTTACGGGAGGGCGGAATAAAATGGAAGAAAAAATATATGAATGAAGAAAAGAGAAGAAAAGATCCATGATCAATTCTGCATATTTATACCTATATGCTGAGTTTTGGCTTTACAAAGTAGAGACGGGCCGTGACAATCTGATTGTCAACATAGACTGTGTTTTTTTCCTGATATATATGTGTGTGTGTGTGTGTATGAGTGTGTGCATTTGCCATTATTTCTCTTGCTCATTCTCTCATCATTTCCTTCCATCTACTATACTCTTGTCTCTACTCGTTCGTGCCCGGCACACCCATCGTGTCGGAAGACGCCGGGATCGACTTCCTTTTATATTATACATATCATATATGATATATAATGTTTCCACCTATGTCATATAATGTCTAGTACTACGTAATATATAATAAAATTATATATCTATCACACGTATGTACATAGAACTGCAGTCTCCGACTAAAAAATAAAAAAATCGATAAATATTTGATAAGGAAGAAAAATTATAATATATTACAATTAGAATATTTAATAGTTTAAGCAAAAAAAAATATTATCATTAGAGCGCAAAGCTGAATAAGCGGAATGCCGTAGCCTAGATTCCGCTAATGTCCTATCTGCTAGCCTTATTCATATCACTTCACGGCTTTCACGCTCTTCATCTTTCATATTGTACAATATTAATTACTTTAATTTGTCTTTATTTATCTTTTCAATTCTCAATAATACAGATGATAAATAATAACCAACAAACATTAAACACCAAATATAATATGTATAGAGTTTTGTGCAAATAATGATAAAAAAACGAAAGCCAAGTTGGTTTATTTTAAACTACGCTCTCTGATAATGTGAAAGTCTCTTTTGTGCATATGTCATCTATAGATTTATTTTTGTTAATTTTAAAAATACACATACATTTATTTTATTTTGTACTACACAAAACATAATTATATACTTATTTTATTTTTATTTGAAATTGGAGTGGAATTTTAAATTTTATTTATCGTTAAATACTGAATAATAAATAGCTTAAATATTTTATTTATATTGGACAATTGAATAAAATAAAATGGATTTATTATTGCTTGAGTTAGATCTAAACGCGTTGATTTTGTGATATCATGTGAACGGAAATATTGCACTGATTTTACTACTTTCCATTGAAAGCATTGAACACTGCGAAAAATACATTACTTGTGTATCATATGTATAGATATTCATTACAAATATAATAAAGACATATTTATGTGTACAAAAACTATTAGTACCAATGACTTCCGCAATTAAATATTTTTTTCCCAGTTGTATTTTTTTCTATCTGCGTTTATTCTTTTATTTATTTTTTATTCATATTTTGATACGTGACGTCAATTACAACCTATTCTCTTCACAAGATATCAATTCTATCAATTCAATGCCGCGAGTTAGTAAATAGTTGTATACATATTTTTTTTGCTTCTCTTATCAAATGAATAGCTAAATATTTTTTTTTTTACCATTTTTAATTGTTTTTTTAAAACTTTTTCTTTGTTTTTTTTTTTTTTTACTGCTATTTTTTTTAATACAAAAATGTGTCAAAGATATGAAAAAGCTATAAAAATATTACCTATATGTGTCTAAAATAAATTGACTTTATTGTGTATGTATGTTGTTATCAAAAGAAAAAAAATTGAAAGAACATACTCGTAAAATAATTAATAAAGTACAGTATGTTTGCGCTTGATTTTTTTGTTTGTTTCAAATTGAAATATCGCTTTTGCTTGATTAAGGTATTTAAATTAATTAATAATTTATTAAATTGAGCATTAATAGCAGTGGTAAAAAAAATAAATGCATAAATAGCATCACGCAAAGCTTCAATTCAAATTAGCTTATTAATAAATAAATAAATAAATAAATAATTAATATATTTATACTGTTGTTATACAATAGCAAGTAAAGCATGTAAGCAAAATTTAAAAGGCTGATAATATTGGGGGAATTGTAGGTAGATTGGCGTCATGAGCAGCAGATGACTGTTCATTAGCCGAGCCATTGCTCGTTCAACTTTAATATGAGCGAAGTCGTAGCCGTGGCAGTGGTGCCTACTGGTGGACAAAATCGTCAGGAATGTGTGACACATATCAAACGTCACAAATCATCATCTGGCTGCAATGTTCCTCTTGTCCATGGCAGGCCAAACCCACCAATCAACGTACGCAACAGACTGACCACTCATCAACGAAACCATAGCTTGGACTTTAGGTACCCGCATCATCATCTTATTTTATTTATTTTTATTTTTTTTTTACTTTTTTCACTAATTTTTTTTTTTTATCTATTCATTGTTATTCATTATTATTTAATTTTAATTATAACTTACAAGTAACATCTCTTTTGTTTTATTTAACTCATTTAGATGTTTAGTTGTGTACAGCTTATGAAATCTCGGCCGTAATTCATGGACAGTGCTTCCCTAAGCAGCTTGTATTTTTATATTTCAATTTCGAGGAAGCTTATCAGTTACTGAATAAATGTATTAAGCTAGTCTTTAAAAAAAAATTATTTTTACTAATTTCTTTAAAATACTATTTGTGAGTTTAAAAATCTTGTTTAGTGTTTCAACATTAGGTAGCTATTTGGAACTACGATTCACAATATTTAAATCCCCAAAAATAATGTTTTAGTAAAATTTTATCAAAAATAGAATAATATGAAAAAAAAAAATTCAAAAATGAAAATTTTTCGCTTAAAAAAATTGTTTAATAAATCATTTGAAAAATTGGCATTTTTGGAATTTTTTTAAGAGGCGTTCTCAGTTATTACAGGTTCATAAATTTCTCCTAAACTAAGAAAAATTTTAGAAAAAATTTTAGAAATCTATTCAATAGATTATTTAATTTTATTTTTTAGCACTTTTTTATTTGTTTAAGGAAAATTCATTAATCTGCAATAGCTTTGCTGTTGTAAATGCGATAAAGATAGTACGGGTTCTCTCGGCAAGTCTAAGAAGAGAAAAAGATCAAAACCGTTTTTAAATTATTTATTTTTACGTGTAGAATACGGAAACAATGAAAAATATATTTTTGATCATTTTCGTGGTAGGTATTATAAAATAGAATAGTTTATAAAATTTATCTGATATCGCAAAGCTTCATATAATAATACATCCCTTGTGAGATTGTAATTAATTAAATTAAATTACAGTAGTATATTATGATAAACTGTAGGACACATTATTTCTTATGACAATAATCGTACGTGAAAAGTCTATCAAATACATGATTAATATCTAACAACTTTTAAGTATTGCATAAAAAAATACACTAAGTTAAAATCTAGCATTTAAATAATAATATTACAAGATGAAACAGTAATGATAAATTGAAGAAAAAAAAAAACAATGGTTGTATAATGTTGATGTTTCAGGTCGATGGGTATCCTACTTCCTCCGGTACCGCAAGCAACTGTTACAACACTGACGCTGCATCACAGAAATCGAAGTCTTGATTCAGCGCTACAACGTATTCCAGAAGTAGATGTAACACCAAGTCCAGAATGTGAAACAGCACCAGATTCAGTAATAAAAGTATCGAGTCCATCATCAATTATAAAATCGCGTAGCCGTGAACGTGAAGACTTAGCGAGTCTTGGTTCGGATGATTCGGGTATACTCTGCGGGTCAGATAGTGGTTCCAGTGATGCTGCTACTGCAACAACTCGAGAATCTAGTGTTGACCATTTACATAGTCGTGAAAGCTTAGACTCGTCGTTATCACAGACCGGTGACATGGATTGTGTTGATGCTGTTGATGGTGATGATACCGGCTCAGTGTCACTGGACGTTATGGAATCTCAATCAAAGGATATGCAACAGTGTATTAATATACCAGAAAAATGCCTTGATAGTGTAGAACAGCAACAAAAACAACAACAGCATCAAAATCAGTATATTGTTGCTAATGAAAAACAGACATTCGTAAATAGCGAACGAACTTCGATGCGAGAACCTCAGAAGATTAATGTAAACAGTGATTACACGAATGAATTACGCGATGAAAAACCAAGCTGTGGTAATAATGGTTATCACAATACACTTGAAGTTGCAATGCAAAGTGAATTGGCTGGTGCTGCGATGACTTTGTGTTGTGGTGCTACACAACCGGATGATGATACCTCTAAAAAACCACTTGAGATACGAAGACAAGAAACAGCTCAACCAAAACCTACTGAGAGTTGTCTTCTTAGGTTATTTGAAAGCCAAATTTTCGATATGTCTATGGCTATTTCTTATCTCTTCAATTCTAAAGAACCTGGCGTTCAGAGTTATCTCGGTCAGTTAAAACAATGTTTTTTTTTGTTGTTGATTTTATTAATTCTTATAACCTTATAATATTATAAAAAGTATAACAGTTAATCTCTGTTGCAATACCTTAAATTTTTTTATGTCTTTAATTTAATTATTATCTTTTGTAGGCAACAAGTTATTTAGCTTCCCAGATAACGATGTGGACTTTTATTTACCACAATTGATCTTGATGTACATACAATTACATGACGTCACAGAGGTTCTTTATCCGTATCTCGTTCATAGGTAAGAAGTATTATTTAATTTGATTCACTGCATTATTTATAAATGAATTTTTTTTTTTTTTTTTTTTTTTTTTTAAGACAAATGTTTTAAAAACAAAAATATAAAAACTGAACAAAATAAATTTATTATAAAATTTGTTTCATATGTATATGTTTATGAGAACTTTCTAATGAGTATCAAGTTGGTAATTATCTTTATACATATTACAGATGTAGGCAAGCCGCAGACTTCTCGTTAAAGTGCGCTTGGCTGTTAGATGCGTACAGCTCAGATGCTCATTTACCATCTAAAAAGAAGTCTCACGGGACCAAGCTCAAAAATCTTATTTTATCTGACGAATTGAGGTACGTCTTATTTATTTATATTTTTTGATTCAATTACGATTATTTTATGATTTGACATCCAAGGGTGACCGAACTAACTAGAAATATGAGTGACAGTAAAATTTTTTTTTAAACTGACACTGATTTAGAACTTAAAAAGTTATGCACTTTTTGGGAAATCATACTATACATTTTTTTTTTTCTTTTTTAACTAATTAAAATATCTTTTCTTTGGATAGAAAAAACAGGCCAAAGGGAAGTGAAATAACGAGGAAGCAAAAACTTAGCGGAATACAAGTACCCGCGCCACCACCCTTGCCTACTGCTCAAATAGTGGCATCGCCCAATAAAAAAACCCACCAAAGATCACAGTCTGATGCTACGGGTCTTTTTCAATCGTTACGTCGAAGCCATTCCGGTAAAATATTAAATTTTACTTCACCATTCAAGTATGTAAGCTTAAAATAATTCAATAGCTATCATATTGCTTGAGTTTACTCGAGCATCACGTTTAATAAAAATCATACTTTCAACTTTATATTTTTTAATTCAATTAATCGTTTTTATTCAATTTATTGATTTAATTAATTTTAATGACTATTTTATAACATTAATTATCATAAATACTTTTCCTTGAATAAATTTATAATTATAATAATTATTTAGGTGTAGTAAATAAAGTAAGTCTTGGAGACTTGAGTTCTGGTCGAGCATTCGACAACGGATGTACCTGTTTTGATTCCTGCCAAGGTGTGGTTAATGACTTACGAGGTCAGAAGACTGATTGCTTCTGTAATGTAAGGAAAAAAAAAAAAATTACTAGTTTTCATTAATACTAAATACACTATAAATAATTTTATCAATTCATCACATTCATCATCATTGACCATTATTAGATAGACAAGAATACTAATGAAAAACTATTTTTATTGTAATTTGTTAGGCCCCGCGGCTTGCTCCAGAGCTTGAGTTTATTCAGGCACTGATATCAATTGGTAAATTGCTTGGAACTATTCCTACAAAAGAGAGTAAAACCGTTCAACTAGTAGCTGAGTTGAATACACTCAACTTAAATTTACCAGCAAGAGTGTGGCTTCCGTTACATAGTACAATTCCACATCATATCGTAAGAGTACCACCGCAATATGCTGCAGTCCTCAATAGTAAAGATAAGGTAAGTAATTTTGTTCATGATTTCTCTTTTTAACATGATACATATGTGTCTGTTATAAACATATAAACTTTCATAACTTTCGAAATAAAAATAAGAGAGAAAGAGAGAATTATTAGCGATTTATAATTGATATATTATTATTATTATTATTGCTGATAAATAATTGTTTATTTTTATTAATTAATAGGCTCCATATATTATTTACGTGGAAGTTCTAGAAGTAGAGGATTTATATACCTCACCAGTTCCCACCAAAGTAATGGGAAGCTCATTAAGACATACTAAGTCTGAAGAAAATTTAACGGGTAATGAGCAATCAGACTCAACGAATAATTCAAATGGAGCAGCACAGCAGCAATCAATTCGACAAACTCCGAATAAAAGTATAATTAATAAAAACGGAGATGGTGCATTTAATTATCTTGATGATGACCCTGCAGATTGTTGGAGCCAAGAGGATGATGAAATTACACAACAGGTTTGTTTATTAATATATTATTCTACTTAAATATTAAAAATAACCGCAGTTAAATATTTGTATGGATTATGTTTTTTTTTTTTTTTTTTTTTTTTTTTAATTTATTACACAGTATTTACAACTTCGGAAGCCTCGAGACAGAGATACGATATCACAACTGAGTCAAGATAGTTCAGATAGCCGTGAACCAGTCTTTGTACCTGGTGATATTAAAAGAAGATTGAGTGAACTTGCCGCGACCCCTAATGCGACATTTAATCACGATCCAGAGGATCCATCGGCAGCCGTACTGAAAGAACCTTGGGAATTGAAACAACGTCGTATAAGATCATCTAGTCCATATGGTCATTTAGCTTCATGGCGACTATTAGCTGTTATTGTTAAATGTGGTGATGATTTACGACAAGAATTACTTGCGTCACAATTATTGTCAATGTTACAAAAAATATGGCAAGATGAAGGTTTACCTCTGTGGGTAAGACCATACAAAATTTTATGTTTATCTAATGACAGTGGATTGATTGAACCAATTTTAAATACCGTATCATTGCATCAAATTAAAAAACACTGTCAATTAACATTGTTACAATATTTTGAGCGTGAATTTGGTCCTACTGATTCCGAGGAATTTGCTCAAGCTCAAAATAATTTCGTCCAAAGTTGTGCGGCTTATTGTCTTGTTAGTTATCTTATTCAAGTTAAAGATAGACATAATGGAAATATATTATTGCATAGTGATGGACATATTATTCATATTGATTTTGGTTTTATATTATCAACATCACCAAGAAATTTAGGATTTGAAACGAGCCCGTTCAAACTAACACCTGAATTTGTTGAAGTTATGGGTGGTAGTCAATCTAAAATGTTCCACCATTTTAAAAATCTTATTTTACAAGGACTTGTTGCAGCACGAAAACACATGGAGAAAGTTGTTAATCTTGTAGAAATAATGCTGTCAGGTTTGTTTTATTTTGATTTTCTTATTTTTTATGATATTAATTAATAGCTTACATTTTAAAATTTATTCAACTTACATATTATTTTATTTTACAGGCTCACAACTACCGTGCTTTCGCACTGGCGGTGCAGCAACTGTTCAAGGACTCAAAAATCGATTTCACTTAACGTTAACAGAGGATCAACTACGACAGCATGTTGAGGACCTCGTTGAAGGCAGCATTCATTCGTGGTCAACCAAATTATATGATCGATATCAGTACTTTGCCAACGGTACACTATAATTATTGTCGGTAAAATTAATTTGTTTATTGCATTTTATTTAAAGTTTGCTTCCCAAAATTAATTTTAATTTTCTTCATAAAAATAACGTCAAAAATTAAATTTGGATAAGAATGAAAGTGAAATAATTTAATACGCTTCCTTTTTTTTATTTCCAATTTGTAATTTCTATTTTAAACAATTTTTTATTTCACATTGACTCAATTCTAATATAAATGCGTTAGAAATTTGCTAATATTAAATTTACAAAAACAATCGAATAACTTAATCATTAGATTTTTAAGGTAATTAAAATAATACAATTTTTTACCGATTTCGTTAATAATTGTTCATTTTTATTATTTTTTTTTTTTTAACTATTTTATCTTCAATTGATAAATGTACATGAGTAAATATCATAATTACGCTTCGGATAACAATTACATATTAACGTATCATCGGTGCAGACTAATATGGTGATTGACTGAAGATTAAAAAATAACTAATTATAAGTTGCTAGATCATTTTTAGCTTAAATTAAATTAATAAGTAACTGAATAATTTGTCGATGGTGCCTTATTTGTAGGTAATGATACAGCCAAATGATGCTGATTCAAAGCATGAATGTTGTATCGTTGTATCGAACACACATGAATGTTGCAAGCAATGATTAATCTGTAAACGCTGTAAATAAAACAAACACATTGATTCAATTGTCGTTTTTTTTTTTTTTTCTAATAATCGACAATTTTTATTAGCTAAAACAAACAATTAAATACTAATTAATGTATCACTAGAGAATGACATGCTGAATGTTTAGTTTTTAAGTGATCTAGAGAAATAAAATATAAAAATTAAAAATAAAGAGAATATAAATTATTAATAATTTAATGAGTAAATGAAGAAAGAAAAAAAAAAAAAAGAAAAAAAAAACACCTTTAGATGTCTGTGAACATAGTTATCTTTGGGTGAAAGACAAATACTCAAACTATTTAAAAAAAAATGAAAATTTCTTACTTTATATAAATATTATTTACAATTAATTAAACAATTAAATAAGTCTAGATAAATGAATAAATAATTATAGATAAACATATTGATTAAAAATAGTTTATCTTGAAAGGAATCACAATTGAAAGTTTTTACATGTTCTTATTATTGCATAGTTTCTTCGTTATAATGCAAAGAAAAAATATCTTAAAAGATGATCAGACAAATTATTTAATAAAAAATTAAATTTCAACGTTATATCTTTATTTAAGCTATTAAATTATAATAATAAGAAAAATATTGTATGTATATAAACTAAAGCATTGACAAAATTTTAATATTGTTTAAGAAATAATTATATGTATGAAGTAAATCAAATTTCATGCGGATAAGCAGATACACATTATTCATTTTTATTTGTTAATTATTATTGTTGATATAAATATTTTTAATTTTTCACTCTCATCATTAATTAACTATTTATTTATTTTATTTAAATGATTAGCTGACTTTGGTAGTTACGTAAATATGCAATTTATTATCATTTATTTTTTACTTATTAAATATGTATTGACAAAAATAAAATAATTATTTTTTTACATCTAATCTACATTTTATAATAATTTTATTGAAGTGTGTGGCTGCTTTATCTAAAAATAAATATCGTTATTTTCCGAGCTTATTGAAAAAAAGTATATTAAATAATAAACATGCATTTTTGTCCTCAAAAAATTGTATATTTCAATTCAATCCTTACCTTGTTATATATACCTAATTAAATAAAAAAACTTTTTAAAAATTATTATAACGTATTTTATTGGATAATTCCGATGATAAAGTAAAAAGACTTTAAATAAATATAACAAAATTTTTTATTTTTCCTTTTTGTAATATCCAATTGCATGATCATAGAGATCTGGGTTAACAAATGTTCCATCATTATTAAGCATAAAGTAAAACGGTTTATTCTTAACTCCTAATGTCATGATCCTATTCAATTCTTGTCGGTGTTTTTTAACATATATCTGAAATTAAAATAATAAATTATTAAATATTATAATAGCTGATGGTAAAAAGTATTAATTAAAATAATTACAGTTTAATTCTAATAAATTACTCGTTGTATTCTTAAGTTTTCATTAATTAATAGTTTGAAATTAATATAAAATCCTCATTTGTGTTAACGAAAATATTAAAAACTGGATTGACTATATATAATTTAATTTTAATGAATGTGAGCAATACCTTTTCAACAGGAACAGTGAATTGAAAATTATCTTTCCATGGATGATAAGTGACAATGGTTACTTTTTTGCCACCTTTAAGCAAAATGATATATTTTATTGAACGTATTGTGAACAACCATATTATAGCTGATGATCCAACTCCTGCAAAATTTTTTTTGTATTATAAAAGGTAAATTGAACTATAATTAGTTACTTATAATCAGTTTTCATTACCTCCTATAAATGGCAGTAAAAATGTAGAAAGATATAAAATGTTTCTTTTTGTATAAGTAAATATAGAATCATCAGCTTTGAACTCTGGCAGCCAATCAATTAAAAAGTAAGTTATAACAGTAAATAAGGAAAATTGTAAAACTGAAAAGACCGTCATATATTTGAAATAATTAGGTTTTTCATATTTATAAAGTATCACATTGTTCAGGACATTTGTATTAACTTCTAATTTAGTGTCTAAATTATTCCTTATTTGATAAATATTTATCGTTGCTCGGGGTTTCAATATTCTATATTTATACAGCGATTCAGTGTTCCTGAAACAATAACAATATGAATGTAAATAATTAATATAACTTTTTAATTTTTGTTTATGAAAATTTAAATACCTCAATTTGTAAGTGGTCTGCAATGTTTCAAAATATTTAATATTATGTATAAATTTATTACTGTATAAAGGTAATTTTGTTTTTAAAAATAATTTAACTAAAATTTGTGACATTTTTAATCTAACTTTTATTATTTTTTTTTTTTACAGTTTTAAAGGTTAAATAGTTCAGAAGTTAACCCCTAAATCTCTTTTGAACATTTATTAAGAACCCATTTTTAATAAGTGAATCAACTTAATATGAAAAATTAAATAATATCAAAGTTAATAAACATTCACCAAATTCATAAATAATAATGAATTTAATATTAGTCAAATAACTATATATTTAAATCAATTCGCAGTTTTTATAAGATAGCCGGTAAAAAATAAGATGGCGTTCAATATGAAGAATTTATTTTTATTTAAAACATACTCCATCTCTATAATACAAAAGTAAAAAAAAAAAAAAAAAAAAAATCATGTCCCATAGTTAAAAAATTACAATTAATTATGACAATAATTACACAACTTAAACTTCCAGTATTTTCTCAAAGTTTTTTGAAAATTCTTTTTTTTCATTAGCTAACAATTCATAAAACCTATGGAAAAATTTGTCAGCAGAATTTTCTAAATATATTCTACGCCTTTCTACAGCATCTAATTTTTCCTGAGCTTCAAGTAATTCATTAACTTCTACCTGGATATCTGGAAGTGATTCTCTAAGACTTTTAATTTCATCTTCTAACTTTTTATTTAAATCACGCAGTTTAGTTTCATCCTGTTTAGCGCGCAATTTAATATTTTTAATCAAAAGTTTTTTTTCATCATTTTTCGACAACCTTTCATCTTTTTCTTGTTCCATTAACTTTTTTTTATCCTGCAAAGACTCCAGCTGATTCATATGCAAATTAATCATTGATGTAAAATTATTATATTGCTTTTTCATGTTGTCATTTAAGTGCTTAATAGCATCAACTTTGGGTTTGAGATCATTCATTATCTTAAAATCATTCAACGAACTACATGGTAAAGTGTATAGATCCGAATTTTCCGTAATATTAATAACAATATCTTTGTTGTAGGCTAAAACAGCGGAATTCAATTTATCAAGCATACTTGAATATTTTATATCAAGAGTATAAACTTCTCTCCGCAATTCTTCTAAATGTTCATCGAATGTTTTCAAATATTTAGTTAATTCGGCACATTTTTTCATTATTTCATCGCGCTCTTCAATAGTCATCGACTGGGTCTTTATACACTCATTAAGTTCATTGTTTTTCTTCAACAATCTTTCTTTTCCTTTGTTTAAATTATCAGTATCATTTTCTAACTTTTGAATTCTAATTTGTTCATCTTTTGACGTTTGAATTTGAGCATTTTCATAAGTTTCTTGTTTCATTTCATCCTCTTCTAACAATGTTATTTGGTCTTTCGACTCTTGAAATTTATTTAACATTTGTTCATACTGTTTATCAAGTTCATCGTACTTATTTTTAGTTTCTAAAGCTTCTTGATCAACACGAAGTTTATTTTCATCAGTACAACCGAGATTATCAGCAATGTTTTCTGCATATTTTTTTATTAAATCTTCCTCTTTGTCAAACTGTCCATCATTCCAAGCGATGTAGAGCTCCAATAACTTTGTAAATTTATTACGATTTATTATTTCACCTTCTTCATCGTCAACGAATGGTATGCTGTGTAATTGAAATTTTTCGAAAGCCACCACTTTGGCTTCGGAAATTTCGACAAGCCAAGATAACCAACCGAGTACATGCGGCCAAGAGTGCATTGTGTTTGCTGTTTTCAACCAAGATTTAGCCATAGTACCAGGATAATGAATTTTTTTAGCAATTTTCGGTAATTCTTCCATATAATTATTTAAACTTAGCTCTTGTTTAACATGAAGATGTTTCAATAAAAAATCTGATGCTGATACAAAAATTTTTAAAGATACCGGTCTTAAACTACCATTTGCATTGAGCATTGATGATTGGTGAGCGTCATTGAAGTAAGTATCAATTCTATTAAGCATTTGCGATTGAAAATTTTTGTCATTAAGAGGTCTTGTGTCTTTTTTTGATGAATTATTACTATTTAACCCACTGGCACGTTCAGCTGATGGCGATCTTCCTCTAGGTCCTGTTGGTAAGTCTGGATATGGTTTATTCGAACTTACTCGTGGTGTTATTGGTGTAGTCAACTGATTATGCGAACCAAGAGATGCTTTACCTATGAATAATTTTAGTTAATTAATAAATCCAAATAATTTATAAGCAATAAATATTTAATAAAATTTTATTAACCTAAAACAGCCGGTGGTTTTAAATTGGAACGCCTGATACTCCCTCGTTCAGATGAAGCACTCCGGATCCGAGGTCTAGGTATTTGAGAGTTATCAGTACCTGAGAGTGCTTTTGATTTACCAATATTTGATACCCTGGGCTCAGATCTAATTTTATCATCTCTATCCAGCATCGATACTCTGATAGGATTCAGAGAAGATTTACGACCATTCGAAGTTTTCCTCATGGTTATTTATAGTTTAAGAACTATTAACTATATAAAAATTTTATATATATCTTAACACTAACTTTTTAATTTCAAACACTATTTATTTATAAAGTATTGAAAACGTTTGTTGTTGCAGTTATAACCACTTGTAAACATTCAAACTTTCAACGGTAAATAATCAAATACCAAACAATTTATCATAAGAGAAAAACTTCAATTGTAATTTTAAAATTAATTAATAATGTAATAATACATAAGATGGCGCTTTTCCCCCAAATAATTATTAAAAGAGGTCGCTAATGTAAATATCTGGTAGCGCGCATTATAAACATTATAAATATGGAAGATACATAACTTTAATTTACAGTAATCTTATAAATTAATAAATTATTATTAATACTTTATGTAACAATTTTAGGCAAGCTTTGGATTTCTCATACATTTTACGATTTTAAAAAACGTTTAGTTCAAAAATATAAAAATGTAATTATCATTGTCATTGACTGTATGACGTGCTTCTATTAAGCGACAAGCAACAACAGACAACTGTTCAGAGTTCAACATGAAAAAAAAAAACTGTTAAACTAGCACCCAAATATTTACATTAGCCGCGTTTAAATATAAAGAATTATAAAATCTCCTTTGAAGTTATTTATTTATTAATGTATATTTTTAAAGTGATTATTAGTTTGTTTTTTTAAAATGAATCGTAGGACTAATGATTTAAATAAAGTACCATCAGTAAAAAATGTAAGATGTTGTGCGAATGAGGTTATCAAAGCCAAAAGTACAGCCGTAAGTTTCTTTTAATAATTAGTTCTATGACTTTATTTTTTTTTTTATCATGAATTATTATTTATCCAATTTTTTTTTTTTTGTTTTTTCCAGAATTTGCCAAAATCGAGTTCAAGTGGTATAGTTGTTCTCGATAATGAAACTACTACTGTTGAAGTAACTGTCAAGAAAAAATCAAAGAAAAGTTCAAATGTTGATAAGGCTGGAATAAGCAATGATAAATTAAACAGTGATAAAAAACAACAATCTTACGGGTTCGATAATTATCATTGGGGTAGAATATTACGCGAGCAAAATGTATCAACACTTAAGCAAAATTATCGCCCAAATTCAATTAAATCTCAGCAGGAATTTCACTCGACACCAAGGCAGCGATCATCTGAAAATATTTCTGAGAGAGAAGCTAGAAAATTATATAATCAAAATAAATCAAGACATAACAATAATTATGATATGTTAATAGATGATAATAATTCATTAAAACAAATGACTCATGATAATAAATTTTTTTATGGTGGAGGTATGCCGTCCCAGTCAACAATTAACAATACCGAATCAGTTTTAGTCATTGACCGAGGTGTCCAATGTGGTGGAATTTATGATGGTACTAATGAAAATTTTCGTAAATTAAATCCTGTTAGAACTTTGGCATTTTTGATGAAAGAACTGGAGAGTATTGTTGGTGGTGGCAGAGCTGGCGAAATTTTAACTGAAATGGAAGAAGCTCTTTTACGAATTCCTGTTGAATCGGGACAACCATCTCATATGGTAAATTACTTTTATTATTTAGTTATTTCATATTCAATTATTTACATTGATTTATTACAATTTTATTTAAATAACAGGACTTGGAAACAATTGCTGCCAAAGCTAAATTAGAAGCAAACATAGCTAAATTAGAATCAACTTGTAAGTCAATGGAGGAAGGATACAAATCTGTTCGGAAAGAAAACACCATACTTCAACAGTAATATTTGTTTACAATCAAATTTTATTTGCAATTTTATTTATTTATTTATTAAAATTACAAGTATATTTTTTTTTTTATTCAGGCGTATTCAAGAACTATCAGGGTTACTGAAACAAACGAAACAACAAGAGTGTGAATTAGAATGTGAAATGAAACGATTACGTACTGATTTAAATGAAGCATTAAAAAATGACCTAGCGAATCGAAAACTTATTAATGAATTACAAGAAGAAAATAGACAAATTGATGTGCTTAAAAAAGAATTAAAAGAAGAAACGGAGTTGACGCATTATTTAAAACTAGAAAAAGAAAAACTAACAATTATGTCTTCTTACAAAGATGCTGAATTTATAAAACTTCGTAATGCTATCAAGTATGTTTATTTGTAATTTTGTACATTAGTTACTTTTTTTTTTTAATTCTTAATCAACAGAAAAAATTTATTAAAAATTGAATTTTTTTTCTAGAATTAGAATTGTTAAACAGTATTATTAGTTTATTATTATAATTATTAAAATTTTTTTATTATAGAAAAAAATATTCTGCAATTGAGATATAGAACCAATTTTATATTACTTTTTAAATATTTTTATGCCTAAAATAACAGGTGAATTTACAAGATATGCTTTTAAATCATTAAATAATCGAATTCGAATTTTTACAGAGAGTTACAAAATAATATTGCTGATCAGTTGGTAGATTTGAGGGAATTTCCAATGGATAACGGACTGATGTTTCCGGAACATCATTCCACAATAATTCCCGGTAAAGTTATTGGTTCAAGTCCATCACCAACGTTACACAAATTACCTGAACCACAAGCATGGCGAAATGCATCTGACTTATCAGATTCTACAATCGATGCATTAGATTCAAATGCACCTGCAGCTAACCAACAAATACCTTTATCCAATACAAATAATGATACTAACAATGATAAATTTCAAGAAAAAACTCATTTGGAATTTATAAGCCTTGCTGGTGAGGAATGTTTAGATTCATCGTCATCATCGTCATCATCATTATCAGAAGGTAATCACGATATTTTTAGATAAACAAAAAATATTAACTATTATAATAATAATAATAATATTATTATATAATATTCATTGTTTTATAGATTTAAAAAGTATTGATGAAGTTGATACAAGTAAAAATCAAGATAAATCACCTGATAAACGGAAAAAAATGAATTCAAAGTCAAATAACACAAGAAGTAAAAATAAATCTAAAGCACGCAGTAATAGTATACAAATTCAAACAGAAAATAATATCGGTTATCGTCATAGTAATATGTCTTCCAAGAATCTTATTGACAAAGATATGAAAAAAGAAATTCAAATGATGTTTGAAAATATGAGAAAAAAAACCCGTATTCCTGTCAACGTGCCAAGTCCACCGCGTAATTTTCCTATTCCTGATTGGAGTGACAGTACACTACCTACTATGAGTATATCAGAGTCGACCTCTGCTTAAAAATAAAAAATAAAATAAAATGTGATGTTTTAATTTATTAAACTCAATAATTCTTTTATTACTATGTTAACAAATTATAAATTTAAATTAAATAGTTTTTTAATCGCATTTTTTAATTTATTAGCATTTAAAAAGATGTTGGTAACAATTTGTAAATAAAAACTATTGAATGAATATTAATTCAATTAAAAAAAAAAAATAATTGATGAGTTATTAAAAATAGAAGAAGTTGATTTACTGTAAAACAATTCAATATTTGTTAAAAAAAAAATAAAAACTATTTGTTACGGCACATTATACCAGTCTATTTGTTATACCAAGCCATTGTGAAAAAAATAATTTGACTTGCGTTTATAAAAAATAAAAACTAGATACCAGACATAAAAAGTCGAGTACCCGATTTGGTGTGTTTAATTTAAAATATATTTATAACAAACAAAAGTTTTTGTTCCTGCTTTTTTTTTTTTTAAATAGGAAAGTTTCTTGTCTTTATAATAAAATGTTTTATTTAATAAATAAAAATTGATTTAAATTTAATATCGTTGACTGCGACGTTCTGAATAATTAACCGAATATTTACTTCGGTCACTTCCTCCGTCATCTTGATACTTTCCTTCAGCCTTGTAATGAATTTCTGGAGCTGAGCCAACATGACCTTGCCAATAACGCGTCCAATAAAAGTCTTCTGGATCTATTTCACCAGGATTTTTGGAATTTTTACATACATGTATACAGTATACCATACTACCTAAGAGTGTTAAGAATCCAAAAATGACAAAGACAATACCTAAGATCCTAATAAACAAAACAAAACAAAATAAAATAATAAGTATAAAAAATCTAAATAATTGTCAATATTATTATCATTATAACAATTATTCACCAGACAATAACCGGCTGGAATATTTGAGTAACTATGACGAAGCCAAGTGTGACAAGGATAAGACTGAGGTTTAAGAGCAACATGAGACAACACATTCCCTTGGTGTTCGGACAAAAAGGATTGGGAGTGGACATTGTTTCAATAATAATACCGCCATGCCGGGAGGTTTTAGTCTTTACGGTCGATCCACCAGATCTCGCAGATCCACAGCTATAATGACTGGGCGCCCTGTCATCTATTCTTGAACTGGGCACCGGACTGTGACGTGATCCGCGGCTATAAATCAACAATAATGTTTCATTGATATCATCTTTACAAATGCTTTGTAGCTATTACCATAAAAATTATTATTTATTACTACAACAGAGCTGCATTTACCTAATATCTGATGTAGTTCGGTAATTACTGTTGGTAATAAAAATTGGTATATTTGTTTCTGAACCATTGTTTGACTGATTATGCCGATTGTTGTGATTATTATCATTATTATTGCTAAAATTATTATTATTATTATTATTATTATTATTTGGCGGAGAGTCTCTCGATAAATCAGAACCAGTACGTCCATTCCGTGATACATGTACACGTTTATCGTTATCCCTTTCATTAGTCGACCGGCGACTTTTCTGTTGAGAAGGTACCACGATTTTAATCTGTAATGAAAATAAATAAAAAAAAATTATTATTAGTATTATTATTATTATAAATAATATAATAATAAATGCAGGAAGTATTTTCAGTGAAACAGAGTTATTTTCTGGACGAAAACCAGTTGTTGACCGAGAAAGGCGAGGTTTATCTTACTGATGTGTGACGCGTGAGATAGAAATAAAGGTAAGAAAAAAAAATATGAAATAATATGTATATAATAATAAGAATTATTACCACAGAGCTGGGCTTGTGGGCGATAGCATATTCTGATGAAGTTCTTATGGAGGTAGCATGATGACTCTCCTCACCATCAGTTGAGTAACTACGTTGCGCATCACCGCTATTGTGCACCAGGTACCCGTTGCTTTTATTGCTATTACCGTGTCGCATTATTATAAAAGCTCTTGTAAGCTTTTACTGTATTTTCAATGCTTTCAGGCTTCCAACTGAGGTTTTCAACTTACACGGCAGGGCAGATTGATCACCGTCAGCGTTGCCGTTGCCGATGCCACACTTGGTAATCTGTAGGCACAAACCAATGTTAATACAGATAAATATTAAGTACAATTTTTTGTTTATTTAAGAGAGGTAAGGGGACAAGTGTGGGCGCAAGGTCAAGGGAGACACGCCTGCGAGGAGCCTTGTTCTCGATCTCAACCGATTCCCAATAAAACCAAATCAAGTTAAAATCCACTTGAGCATAAATTGCACTGCTGCTCTTCTTGTTCAGCTTTTTAATCCATATTATTATTTTTTTATCATAAACATAATTTTGAGTCATAATTTATTTTTTATAATAATATTATTTTTATATGTACAATTTTTAATCTCGTCATGATGATTTAAGATTTTCTATTAAATCAGGTAATTTTGTGGTACATTCACCAGATACTACCATTAGCTAGCATATCTGCCCACACAAACTCGTCTTACAATAAAATCAATAACAACAAAAATAATAATGATAATAATAATAATAATAACAACTTCTACTACTTATTGCTCTTTTTTTGTTTTAGCCTGTATAAGTATATTTCCTCCAGATACTTTCTCTCTAGTTGGTATACTCAGGTTGAGTCATCCTCAAAAGTTAAAATGCGTTCACAGCTCGTCGCCGGAACAATCCATACGTTAAGTATGTAATTGACCAACAATAATAGAAGAGCGTTGTATGTAAACACACTTGCTATTATGACATAAGTATCAACACTTTTATTTTTTTTTTCTTTTTAATCGTTACCGTCTATATTATTTCCCATAATATAATTCATCATGACTTATTATTTATTACTCATTACCATTACTAATGTAATCAATCACCGCTTGAGAGATATACAGTGATAATGTAAATTATTGTTGTTATTGTTTTTTAACAAGTATTTAATTTTTTATGGAGTGAACGCATTTTTATTTCAGGTCAAGGACGTGAAAATAAATGGGATTTGGAATGCCAAGTGGATGTGCAGTCGGCATCTCTAGACTCTGGCTGTATTGCGAATCGGAGAGCTCGATGCTTGGACTATTGCGCGCTTCAGAACCGGAAATGGATAAATCGCTACCTACCCAGCGTACTTTATTTTTATCTTTATTCTTTTTCTTCATTTCCACCTTGTGTGTGCTCTAACCAGATTTTAATTTTTTAGATTATTTTTTATTTTAAATACACGACTACGTAATGCTCCAAAAATAGTATTATGACTGCTTGTGTTGTATCAACCAATGTAGTAACGTCTGTTGTCACCATACAGAATTATTTACCTTTCCAATTACCATTTTATAATTAAACTATTATTATATTCTATTTAATTTAACAATTATTTTATATTCACACAACAATTTTAATTATTTTATCAGGTTTGTAAGTTTATTGCTTAAATTATACCGAATAAAAATTTCTCTTTTTCGTTTCCCCGATAAACCGCGTTGTTTTTTCCGTTATATAATCACACATATAATTAAATTCATTATTTTTAAATATGTATATGTATGTGTAAGCATCCACTGTTAAGTAATTTCGATTTCTTTTATTTCAATATTAATTTTAAAAATTTTTTTACACGTCTCAAGTATTCTTGGATTTATGTTTTATTGATTGTATAAATACACATCATATTGTTGGTGTTAATCATCTGATACCAAAGAAGTATATAGAGTTTGAAGTAGAAGAAGAGGATGATAACAAAGAAGAAGAAGAAGAAGAAGAAGAGAAGGAGTCGGGTGGTACCAAATGATTTATGTATTAGCGCGCGAAGAAAACAAAACAATAGGCTGAATACCATTAAATCAAAGTGACACGCTGAAAGAATATATATTTATAAATATTTGGTAACTTTAAATTCATCACACAGAAAGGTAACTCGTTATTTATATTAATAACTTAAATAAATAAATTAATAATAAATAATATTAAAGATTGAAACACTCACAGGCGCTTAATATTTTTCAACTGTAGAATGTAAGTGTGATTTAAGTCAGTGACGTCGGCGATCCAGTTGTATGAAATGGATATTCATGATGTTGATGAAAATCATGGTCCAGTTGGTGAAAAACAAGATTCATCAAGAGTACCCACCGAAAAATAAAATATCAACAGGTTTTTTTTTATTTTAAATACTAATATAGACACGGAGACATTTGTTTGCCATGAATAAATATAGTAAAAATAATAAATGACGCGAGTGAGTGTAACCGTCGCGGAATACTGGCATACTAGCAGCAACGAGCAGCAACTAGTGTAGCATTAAAGCATTCTCATTCTCATTGCGGGGAAAGGTGCCCATGAGACACTACTATATTTATGCCTCTTCCACCTTACGGCCTTACCTCCTCGCTACAACCTGTACCGCGGCCAAACCTTCTATGCGATACAAGAGCTCATTAAAGTGGGGGAGTCTTAATTCGCACTTCAATCTCTATACTTGTTGATGTTGATAGTATTTGGTGCTAAATAAGCTGTGATTTAACCCACAAGTTTTTCAAGCAGCCATTTTGTTGTCACTATTATTTTTATCTGATTAATTATTAATATTGATGACAATTTTCATCAAAAATTAATTGTTTAAATTTCTTTATAACTACTATTATTGGTGTATTTAAAAAATGGAACACTCATTGGATCAGAAAGTTATATCTCTTAATTGTTTTCAATCAGAATCATTTTTTATTTAATAAATAATATTGTTCGAGTGAACAAGGAATTTCAATTCTTGGGATAAAAAAAAATTCTGTAAAGGTTTTTTAAAATTGGCTATACAAGAAATTGAATTATAAATATTATTTTTTGTTTTTATTACATTGGTTGATATAGATCTAATTAACGAAATTTGAAAGTATGACTTGGACAATTCGTCATTTAAATTAAACGATGAAGAAAAAAGAAAAAATTTTCGAAAACGAATTACTGCAAGATAAATTTCAACAATTAAATTGTTTGAAATATTTTTATAAGGGAAATTAAATAAAATTTAATTATAAAAAATTCGAAAACAAAATAATATCAGACAATCGAATTGTGTAAGTATCAACTGCTCACTTTTCACTACTTTCTTTACATTATAAAAAAGGACCATCCGGCCTCACCTGAAATGGAAAGGTAAATTCTTGATTTTAATACAAATGAGTCGATTTTAAATCAATTAGTCAACTTAGTTTCTAAAACTTAATTTTATGTCATTTAAAAAAATCATCATAAAAATTTTTTTGTAAATTTCAAAAGTTTTATTATTTGGAATAAGGGATAAGTGTATTTGTTTGGATTTCCAAAACTAGAATACAAGGAAAAAAAGTCATAAATAATAAAAAAAAATAAATTTAAATAATACTAATAATACTAACAAGGTAGATTATATTTTTTAAAAAATCTAACGATCAGCATATAAGTATAAATGAAGTTAACCCGTACTTCAAAGATAATAGTCAATCAAAGAGAAGTAACTGACCTACTTTATTTATAAAAAATAAGTAATTGGTTAATTGAGATCATTCCTCTCACTGCCTGAAAAATGAGTGCTTGAAAGATCTTCTGAAAATAACGAATACATATTTATTAAATATTCATAGGTGTATACCTCAGATCTGGTCTATATCGAATTTTTAAAAGTACAAAGCCTCTAAAAAAATTGTCTTGAGTGGGCCTATAAATCTACTGTCTAGTATACAGAAACAACTTTTTCATTTTCCTTTTTTGGCAGTATTATACATCATTCATGCATATTATACATCACTCCCAGTATAAAACCAACAGACTTGTAGAACACGATGAAATAAAATTATACTGTTTGATGGAGCTGTACTTTTTTTTTTTTTATATACATAAAATTTCAAAGTTGAGTATTAACATCATCAGTAACTCATTGATATTCTATTCATTGAACTTCTTTTACCTGTCCGTTAGTTTTGAAGCAGATCTACGTTAGCATAAATAAATCTTTATTTTAAAAAGAGAAAATATTGTTTGCAGAAATTATAGTCTTTATAAGTGAAATTTTTTTGTGATCGTATATATTTGTATATGATTTTTCCTCCAGTTAGTGATAAACCATTAATTATTAACATCCCGCTTTGGAAATTAAAACTTTTCAAAAGTAGTAAGTTACTGATTTCAGTCTGATTTTGAGAATGCGAGTTTTAATCATGTCTCGACGTTTTGAGGTCCTAGAAAACCGTTCCAACTATTTCGGGCTAGACGTCCGGCCGTGAGTGTGTGTATGAGTATGGATAAAATTTTGTTGTACGACTTCTTTAAAACGAATCAGTTAATTGAGATGAACGATGTAGCGTTCTAAAGAATTCATTGAGACTTATAGATTAAGTTAGATTTTGAAGTCAGTCGGTCAAGTCATTTCAAAGATATTCAAAAAATAAAAATAATAAAAAAATTTCTTCAGTTTTTCTTAGATATGTGGAAAATTCTTTGGCTTATCGACTCAAAGTCTTCTAAACATTTTTGTGCTTAAAAAACTGCATCGAATGCCGTCAAGGAATTCAAAAGATATTGCTATTTGTAAATTTTAAAAAAATTATCTGAAACAGTTCTCAGATTTTTGAGCTCTTTAAAAATTAATTAAGGGATTTTTCTGATCATTCTGGTTTCGGCACTCGAAAAAAAAGCAAATATTAATTATTTTTTTTCACAGAAACTATTATAGATATCGATATAAACTTTACTCAACTCCTCACATTATCTTGAATAACACAAAAAAAATCGAACTATTTTTTTTATAAGTAAACAACGGGCGAACGGAGCTTCTCCAAAAGTTGGTATATCGCTGACGTAACTGTTAACTTTATAAAGCCTTATCTAAAACACAAAAACCAAAATTATTTACCTTCAATATATAAGTAGTTATGGCTGGAATTATGGAAATTGATATTAATTGATAAATAACAAAATAGCTACTGAGATTAAAAAAAAAAAAAACTGAAACATATGAGCTGTTTTTTCCGTTTTTAGTCCTAAAAAAATAGTAAAAATTACAATTTTGATTTGGTTGTAGTTCGGGCCATAGCTACTACTATATAGAATATGTAGTTTAAATTTAACGCGTTTAAAGTTTGTTTAATAAAAAAAAAAATCTTACCTAAAGTCAATTAGCGATGTCGGCACTATACAAAATTCCTTCAGCCTGTTGAAAAATTTGCAGATGTATGTACTTTCGGAAAATGTAAAAAAAATAATTTTTTCAAAAGTTACAAACCAGAATGATCCCTTCATATGAAAATTCTCGAACGTATTGAAATCTAATAAAGCGGAAATTTTTAGATTTAACTACATGAAATTAAAAATTTTTATAACGAAAATACATTTATTATCTTTGAATAATTTAGAAAACTACTAATAAAATGTAACTTATTAATACTTTTGGCAAAAACTTCCAATTTTAATATTCAAACCAAGTTAAATGGATGAAAATAATCTATTTGAAAGATATTTTATGAATAATTATTAACTGTATCAAATATTTAAATAAAAAAATTTTTTTCTAGGTCAAAAACTTTTAATTATAAAAGATCTCATATATCTTATCGTATTTACAATTTACAGAAATTATTTAAACAAAATGTGAAATAATTAATTTAATTTTTTTTTTAATAAATAAATAAATAAATAAATTATTATAGAACAGTGATTTATATTTTTGAAATATATCTAAAAAAAAAAATAAAACGGATATTGTTACCTTGAGTTTAAAAGAAAAATATGATTTCTTTAGTCAGTCATTTTTCATTCTTAATGTTAACAAGTATAATCTATTTCTTTATCCATTTGGTTTATGACTCACCAGTACTCATATACTTGATTATACCTGATAAAAATTTATTTCTCCTATACTACTAGATTTTTAAAACTTAATGTGAAATAGTAATAGGTGTAGAAATAAAAGAAAAATGAATAATTTTACTTTAACAACTCATTGCTTTAATGTTTTGTAATACAATAATATAATTAGAAAAAAAGAGAAAAAAATTATTTTTAAAAGAATAAAAATCATAATTTGGAATGAAGAGACTCGTAATCGAGGCGGGATAATTATATTGCAGAAAGTATCAATGTTCATCACGGTGAGTAGTCAAAACGTTTGATACTGACGAACACAATGTGTGGGTTAAGCCGAAGAGATTGTTTCTTTCTTTTTTAATGTTTTTTTTTTTTTTTTTTTTTTTTTTTTAAGTTTCAATTGAATTCGAATATTAAATCGTGCTTGTTACGATCAACATTATACTCGACGACAGTCTCAACATTCTCCTTTAAGGTACGACGAAAACACGAATGCGTGCAAGTTGATTACAATTATTAATTTTCTACAATCTAAATCTTTGAATACACTACATTACTTGCTATTATTATGAATTACAATTTAATTTTTTTCATTTCATGTTAATAATGTTAACTTCAACATTTCTATAAATGTAAGTAGATTTTGAAGTTTTGTGAAGCTAATTTTTCATGCACTCAAAGATTAAAAATATATATTTATTAACAAGTTTCAAATTTAGTATATATTATCGCATCAATCTCTTATCAATGTACTGTATTGTCAATGAAATTAAGAAACTTTTGAAGCTCAAGATGTTAATCACAGCTTTATTATTCAAAATCCAAAGACATTCAGCAACGTAAACAAGAGATGACATAATTTTAAAATTAATGATTAAAAAAATAAAAATAAAATATATATTATACAATTGAATTAATTGATTAAACCCTTAGCCTTAAATAAATCGCGCATAAGCCCCTTCAAGTATCCGATCTCTCGCTTCAACTCACAAACTTGATCCTTGAGTTTACCATTGATGTCTTCTAACTCATCTTGTTCGCTAACGATCTCTTTAACTTCAAGCTTCTTTTTCATACGATAACGCGTGGCTGCATTCTTATTTTGCTCCTTCTTACGATTTTTTTTATCATCGATCGAACGTGCATAGGGCTTACTGCGAGTGCGGGTTGTTTTCTGATTACGTTTGCCATAATTGCTGTTCCTACTGCTAGCCTTGCTACTGCTGATAGATGAATCTAGAGTCCAATCAGGATCATCAACTGAATCTTCGGAAGACAAATAGCTGCTGACGGTGCTATTTATCGGACTTGTTGGTGACATTGATTCGACACATGATCTAACATATTCATCAACAACTGCTAATTCACTTGCCACATCACCTGCCAGTGGTAATAATGATACATTTTCAGCATTCCATTCGCCAGATATTTGACCAAGATAAGATGCATCACTTTTATCAATAGATTCTTCTTCAATCACTTGCTGCTGCTGCTCCAGTTGTTGTTGTTGTTGTTGTTGTTGTTGTTGTTGTTGCTGTTGGTGATGTTGTTCTTGTTGATTAATGAGATTAATCGAAGGGGGAATTACAACAGTATCAGCAATAGATGGATATGTAAATTGAATATTAGACAAAGCTGTTGGGTCTAAATTAATAAGAATCTGCTGAGAATTAACTGACAATGAGTCAGAATGTATATACGGTGGTGACTGCGGCGGAGTCAAAGCTGAACTGCCCGAGGGGTAAATCATTTGGAATGATGATTCTACACCACCAAAAACAGTTTCCCATTCTTGTAAAAATGATTGTGTTGTTGGCGCTTGTGGTTGAGAATAAATCACTGGCTTGTTTTGAATACATTCTGATGTTGATAATTCATCAAACAATGATTCTGGCCGATCTTCAAACCAACCAGGTAAGGGCTCTGTAAAATAATAATAAAACAATGATATCAATTATTACCAAGAATAATATAAATATTTATCATCAACTTTTTATTAATTAAATAATTTGTAGTAAAGTAATTTATATTCTTGAGTGTTAGAAAAAAATGCGGTAAATCATAAAAATTATTGCTCAGACAATTAGTGGGAGTGGCATGGCTACAATAAAATTAACATAAAAGTAAATAATGTTATTAATGCGTCTAGTTTTAAATCGAGGAAAACGAGAAAATTGAGAAAAAAAAAAAAAAAAAAAATTCAAATAAAAGTAACTATCAACGTCCATGAGACTTCAAGTACATCAAGCTTATATTAATTAGATAACACTATTATCAATAATTTATATTTCTTTGAGCCATTATTTTTTTTTTTTTTATTATATTTGTGCTAAAGTTGTGAAATTTAAAACTAACAGAGATTCTGTTTATCTAGTTTATTAAAATTAATAGATAAAGTAAGGTACAGATATCAATTATATTGTAATTGTGATTAACTAGTTAACAAAAAAAAAGCTATGTGTACCAAGGTTACAAGAAGTTAAATAAATGTTAAAATGTTCTCGCATTAGAAACAATAAAAATATAAAAAGCTGTATAAAATAATTTATCAATATATGCTAATATAGATATTAAAACTTTATTTTTAATTGACTATATTATTGTAATGGAAAATTTTACTTATTTCTTTATTGTCTGCAAGGGTTAGTGAGTAATTATCATATTATCATTTGTGAATAAACAATAAAATAAAATCTAGGCCAATGACTGTTATTACAATTATTAAATATCGATTAAATAGTAGTTTTAATATTTATTGTTTTTGTTTATATTTATGTATCATCGATCTAATTATCAACTAAGATCGCAACCCCTTGTGCAATAATAATCACGCAATTAATATTTATCACTTTTAACCTAGTTTAATTATGTCAAAACTTTTAAGCTCTATTAAAAAGTAACAAATAAGCTTTAAGTTAATGTCTATAAAAATAAGGTAAAAAAAAAAAAAAAAAAATAAATATTTTACTATTATGTAATAAAAAAAAAATTGAATGTCTAATTTTATTAATGATTCGATTTGTTTTTTCAAGTTTATTAATTAACGTTTGTGATAATTTATGAGAATCAGGTTTTTATTTTAATAATCATTGAATAGATTATATTGCAATATTCAATCTACATGATTAAAAACTAGTCTTCTAGTTTTTAAACTGCAAAATTAATATCAATTCACAATAGCTCAGAGCTGTTTAGCATTTTGGTAAGTTGGAATAGTATTATTTCATTAATAAGTAGAAAAATATTATTTTTTAAGGTGCTCTTACATACGTCAAATAATAAATAATACGTATTTTTTATATTAAATTTGTAATTTTAAATATTGTAAGTCGATAACCTACTGAGTATATTAAGTGAAATTTGACTAAAGGAGAGAAAGTGATGTACGAAATTATTTATTTTGCGATTAAGACTCTTCTGAATTGGAATGAGTTATAAATACAACTTTCGATTTATCTTTGCATTATGAAAAAAACAGTATATTATGTTATATTATATAAAATAAAAGAAAAATAAGACATACCACTATAACACATAGTAGCCATCATATTTGCTAATTTTTTTTTTTAGTTGTCCTAATAGAATTTGTGTAAATATTGAAGAGTTCGAAAAATTAATTAGCAACAACAGTAGCAGCGGCAGCAGTAGTTTCAGTAGTTTTATGTCAAACGTTTGTTGAGTTTTCAATAAGTTATCCAAGATTAATAATAAAACTAATTTTAATAGTATAAACAATAACAATAATAATAACAATAAGGCAGTGATACGAAAAAATTTGTCAACTTGGAAAAGTAATAATAAAAATATCGATATTATCAACGTCTTTTCACTAATTTTTGTGAATTTACAATTATTTCCCGGTTCCACGTGTATAGATACGCGAACTGCATGCTAATGTTTAACATAAATACACTGCAACATTTAGATGGTTTATTGAATACACGTATCACTTTTGAAGATGCCAGTATCACCAGATTAACTATTGATAGTCGTACGTATAAACCAAAAATTATGAGTACTTATAAGCGAGTTAATTAAATTTTTATTTTTTAAAGATTACGCCAACGAAATTATAACACTGTTTTTTAAAAACTTTTTGTTCTTTGTTAAAGATAAGAATATATTTATTCAAAATAAAATGATGTGTATTCTTCCATCCAAGTGTAATTAAATTTAAGTTGGATAAATAATTGACGCAGGTAACAATGTGTAAACACTCAAGTTATTAGTATAGCAGCACACTAGGTAGGCAGCGTCAAATAAATTGAACACGCTGATAAAACGATTGGTCTTTTACGCAGAAACTTGAAGGCGTGTATTGCGGAAAGACAACTGATGACACGTGACAACTAGTTGTTTAAGTGTTAAGTTATTAGAATTAAATATGTATGTATATTTATTTTGTTGTTGATATATTAATATTGCTATTGTAACTATTATTATTATTATTATTATGGTTATTTTGTTTTATTGTTATTATAATGACGACAATAATAATAATAATAATAATAATAATAATAATAATAATTGTTTTATAGGCAGAAAATATTCTCGAGGTATGTGAGTAGCAATGACGACTTAAAATGACTGACTTGGTGACAACGAGCTGTCGAAGTGATTAAGTCAAGTATAGTAGTAGGGGAATTACAAAAAGAGAACGAATGAAATGAATAAGTATACTGCAATCATCAGAAGACTGTGTGTAGTTGACCCGAACGTTAACAGACTACCGTCGCTGACTCCAACTTATCGTTGGACTTTCCCTTCACACTTATGTATCTCATATACAAATACATACGCAAAAGATTATTAAAAGATTTTATTCCATTACTACAGTTTGGATTGGCTCGTACTCCGTTCCGTTTTAACTTGATTATACCGATTTCTCCCAACTTGTATCATATATATTTCCCATTACCGCTCGATACGATGCGATACCTTGGAACTTAACTTGTTCCCTAAAGGCTAACCAGTTTGTCCCACTCTTCAATATCTTATAGATTTTAAAATCACTGTAATAAAGCTACAAGTAGTTTAACTATTTATAAACACTGTTAGCATTTAAATTGGCTCAAAGTATTAAACCTCTTTAAATTGATTGTATATATTTGACTTTGTTTAGCAGTGGTTTTTCGATTATTTCAAATTGTATTTGATTTTTTGCTCGACTTTTTTTAAACTTTATTGTCATTGGGCTTTTTAAATTAAATTTTAAAAATCTAATTCAGTAGCTATTAAAGGGATCCGATAGTCTTGAATTTACAAAAAATTGATTTTTTTTTATATTTCGAAAGTATGGTTTATTAAGAATATGCTGTTAAATTTTTGTAATGATATTGACGATATTCAAGATTGACAGCTTATTTAGCAGGTCAGCGCTGAAGCAGATACAAGGACAAGTATAATTATTTAAAACTTCAAACTCATTTATCTCGAAACTACTTTTGTCTTGCGCGGTCCGAGGCAAAAAAACTGATCGGCTGATTCATCTCGAATTTTACTTAATGTTATTCAGTACAACGTGATCTATTTGTAGAACTATAAAAAAGTTTTTACGTTGAATATTTCTTACTTTTAAATACAAAAAATAATTTTTAAAAAACAAAAAATAAACGTAAATTTCGGCAACGCGCCATTTTGCCTTTTTTTTTTATTTTAGCTCCACAGATAGCTATACTCATAATGATTAAAAATTTCTTTCATTTTTTGTTTTCACATGAGTAGAAGAACCAAAACTGAACCAAGGTCCATTTTTTTAGGGCAACTTCAGCGCTATTTTTAAACAAATTGAAAGATTACTTTGTAAATAATATTTTTGTATACTTCTAAAGTAATATAGCATATTGATAAAGTTTAAATAATATTGTTCATTATTTTCATTGAAAGAAAAAAATCTTCAAGTTTATGGCCTTTAGACCTCCCATTAACATTTTAAGGACTTCAAAATAATAATGATGTAAAAAAAAAAATTCATTTGTATGATTAATGATAGTTCAGCGGATAAAGTAATTTAAAAAATCAAAAGAACTAAAAATTTTTGATAACGTTGAAAGTTTTTGAACAGTGCCAAGATTACTCAATGCTTGATAAGATATGTACATATTGTAATGGAAAATTTTGGTAAAATTTATTCAATTTAAAAAAAAAAGAAAAGTCAATATTTTGAAAAAGTATGAGGTAGGTTAATTAAATTTTTACCTTCTTTAACTAATTCATCCAATTGCTCTAAAAGTTTGCTAGCAACTTGTGCACGCGTTGGATTTTCGTCGTATAATTCAGGATCAAGGATATCGTTTACTAATGTTGAGGATTGATCGTCGATATAGATCCAATCGTCTTCGGCTTCACCTATTGAAGTCCCACTAGGGGAATCTGGCTCCGCCTTCCATATCCAGTTCTCGTATAATGACATTGCTGGTATGATTGCAAGTCTCTTCTATATGTATCGATAATTGAGAAAAATAAATTTGTCGCGTCGCGAGGACGTAACTCGAAAAAAACGCCATTGTGGCTCTGTAAAAGATTTAAATTTATTTAGTTCATTTATTGACTTAAAAATTTCTACTATTATTATTATTAATAATTATTACAAGATGGTGAATATTTGTATGTGTATTGTTAATCAGTTTATAGATCATGTATTCTAAAGTTAAATTAGGTATTTCTTAATTACGTTACAAGTTATAATAGATATTTAATAGTTTTAACAATTAAAATCAATTTCAACACGGCTTATCAATCGTTTGACGTTTGTCCTGATTACTTCAATAAAGACATTTAAAAAATATTCTTTAGACTTTTATCTCACAAATTTATTTGAAATTTGGTAGATTTTTTTACTATTGATAATTCAATGGAAGTAAAATAAAATTTGTTATAAGGTTGAAATTAACAGTCATCTGTTGATATTTGATATATTAATTTAATAATTAATTTTTTTAAAAGAAAAAACCACTTGTAGTAATTTCAAATAACTATAATTGCAATTTTTTAAAAACATTTCTTCAAGATTAATTTATTTTGTAAAAGAAACTCAAAATGGTCAGATGTCTGGTAATTTCAGTATCATAAATTGTTATTTATATAAAATTAAAATATAGAACAAATATTATTTACCAAAAATTTAAAATTTATCATAAAATTCATCATACACAAATATTTTTATTTGTTTTTGTTTTTTATCTATTTTTTTTTTTTTTTTTTTTTTTATTTTTTTTTTTTTTTTTTTCCCTATCTAAATAAACATCAAAAAAAAAAAAAAGCATCGATATTTATATGTTGTTTACTTTTTTTTTTTTTTTCGGTTTTTTTTTTTTTTTTTTTTAAGAAAAAGCCGCAGGTTATTACTCCAATCGTTGCGCAGCAAGTGTGTCGACATATCGCGACACAACTTTCTAATTTGTAAAAGTACATACTTTAAATGATAAAAACAATAATAAGTTATTGTTTATATTTTAACATTCCTCAAATTTATTTACACGTATCATATACATATGTTTATTAATATATAAAAATATTGAAAAAAGTGATGCAATCATTCAATGGTACAGATTTTCCAAATATTTAGTTTAAAAAAACCCGTATTTAATGCATATTTCCATCAAATGACTTATCAGTAGAGTAATGACAAGTGATTACTGATAAGCTAAAACAGTGGCTCAATAAATATATGTATTATTAATTACATATGTTTTAATGTATATATTTAGTGTATTTTAACACGAGGCGATGACTCACGAACACAAAATGGCGGACACATGATCGAACTTTAAACCCGAGCACAAGAATTTTCAGTAACAAATTTTGTTAGTTTTTGTTAATTAATGTATTATTATTGCTACTTACACCATGATTACTTTTGTTGTAAAGGCACACTTGCGCGTGCAAGCCGGAATCCGACTAGTTATTCATTTTCACAGTCTTTAGAACGAGGAAAAATTTTAAAATACGTCTGATTTCGAATGATCATGGAGGATGAATAAGAAAGAATAATGAACTTGAGTTCTTCGACGGTGAATACGCATGCCTGGGTGCCTGGGCCACGTGACATTCTCCGAAACTCTGAAATACCGTAATTTATCCCTACTCATCAAATTTTTTGTTACTTTTTGTACTGTTATCAAACCTTTCAAACTTTCTCAATTAATGTCAATATTTTCTATTTTAATAATATTGATTTTATAATCATCAACTAAAGAAAGTAAGTATATACACGAGACTACGAGAATATATCATAAGATTGACCGGGAAATTTTAAATTATAAATTAACTTTAAAAAATAGCAATATTTCTACTATGACGCTCTTATAAAAAGATTTTAATATTTAAAAAATTAGGATGACGGATTACCCTAAAGGCCATCCCTGCAACTTTCCGCTAATTTTGTACTTAAGCGCTCAAAACTACACATTACGTTTTTGAGCTCTTCGAGCTCAAAACTCCAATAGCAGTTTAATAAAACACAATTTTTTGAATTTTCAAACGGCAATAACTTTTGAATGAATGAACCGATTTTTACGCAGTTGGCGGCATCCGACACAGTTTTTGAAGCTCCATGAAAAGTTCTCCAGTTTAAATCGATCGAGCCAGGAATTTCGAAGTAATTCCGAAAAAACACTTTTTTTCGGGTTTCTTTCGACAACGATAACTCACGAACGAATCAACCGATTTTGACCGGGCTTGCGGTGATCGACGTGGTTTTTTGATCTTAAGAGCTGAGTAGATTTTGGAATTGATCGGTCGAGCGGCTTAAAAGTTATTCCAAAAAAACCACATTTCATAAAAATTTTTTTTGTAGTTTTTTTGAGATTTCTCAAAGTCTACTAGTTTGAATCGGTCCAAATAGTATTCAAAATCTAAGTTTGGCCAAGCCTTTTCGAATGGCACCAACCACGATTAAAATCGGTCAAGCCGTTCAAAAGTTATAAGAGGGTCACATACATACATACATGCACACGGACATTATCGCGAAAACATTCAGGGAAGCTTCGTAGGACCTCAAATCGTCGAGATCTGATGAAAACTCGATTTTCGAAAAACGGGGTAAAACCAATAACTTCCTGATTTTTTTAAATTTTCAATTTTCTTAGCGGGAAGTTAAAAAACTAAGTAAAAATTCATGAAAATTTTTCACTGACAGTTTTTTTCTATTTCCACTCTAAAAGTAATTTTTTATAAAAACCATCTCACTGGTTCTTGTGGCTCGTATGGATAGAGTAAAAGATTGTTCAGTTTTCCCTGTTGCAATCTAATATGCTCATAAAATATTAGAAAAAAAATTTTTTATTACGTAAAATTAATGAAAGAATATACATCTGATTGAAATCTTTGTTTTGTCGTAACTATAGTATTGAATAAAAATTAACATGCTAGAAATAATAAAAATTAATAATAATGAAATTTAACAAATTAATTTTAAAAATCCTTTGAATTCATAAAATTCTTATAAAACAATTTTTTTTTTTTTAAGTTTGAATGAGATTAAACTTAAATTTATACTTTGTTGTAAGATTTTAGATTTAAATTATTATAAATTGGTTTTGCACCTTTTCGTTTTTGGTGATAAAAACAATTAGAGAAGATAAGATAGTCCAAATAAAACATTACAACCAATATGATAATTGATAATTAATATAAATTAGTAATTAATAAATAATTAAATGGTTTAGTGTTAATGAAACAATAAATATAGATTTTATATTTTTTTTTTATTATTTCTCACATTAATGATTTGCTCAAATTTTTTTTTCTGAAGATATTTGCGCAACAAATATCGTCGATTATGATTGTACATAAAATGTGCAAATGAACATTCAAAATTTTAATTTTTCTGTACGATTATTATATATTATGCGCCTCTGTCTTACTTATTTTTACTTAAAGTAAATCATTGGAATCAATTGCATATTCCTTTCCTTGTTTTTAAATATTAGTTTGTCATTTCATTTTGTAATGTGGGTTTATAAAAATTACTCATAGATTTCTATAATATAATATAATTATAGTATAACTACTTTATCATTCATTCACCCTTTTTATTTTTTTGTAACAATAATTATTTATTTATTTCAATAATCGTTACTATTATTTCCGAAGTGAGACTTATGATTATGTTTTTTTTTTATTTTTCATTGTTTTTCATTATAGAATTATTGTAGAATTTGTTATCAACTTCACTATAAATTTGATCTTGTATTATCACGATTAGAATTTTACTGATTTTCTGAAAATAATTCGAAGAACACTTCATGACAGTGGCAATAAGCAGAAAAAAATAACTTTTATTATTATAATAATATATAATTATTTTTTTAACCATTAAAATTTTTCTTTGAAAATTAACATCTCAATTAGCCTACTAACGAAGTTCATTTCAATAAACAGTTTTTGTAATTATCAGCGTTTTTAAATAATTATGAAAGTAAATAAAAATTTTATGTATTGTTTGTTAGGAAATAAAGTAAAAATAACGTCATAGAAGAATAACTAAAACGAACACGTAGTGGCAATTGCATAAATATAATAATTAATAAAATTAAGTTGTTGAATGAAATAAATACGATTTTTTGTTACAAAAACAAGAGATTAATGAAAAAATGTACAATTTATTTTTAATATTTATATCTATTTATCAATTCATACAGACATATTCGGTTTTCATAGTTAGTAACTATTTATTAGTATATATACTTATACATTTAATAGTTGTTATTTATTTATTTATTCATTTATAGATTTATTTACTTATTTATTCGTTCATTTGTATGAAACCCTGAGACTACAATGCTACTGTCACGACAAACTTTCGTTTAAAGTAAAGACGTATCTAAAAATAAAGCTTATGAAAATAACTTTTAAAAAAATTGAATGAAATAAATCTTAAATAAAAGTATCAGTATTATTATTTTCAATTATTATTCAAAATAAATTTTACGTTATTGTTAAATACGTAAATATGAGTAATTAATGACTTTACAAACTGGCTTATTGGCTTATGTACGTTTTTAGTGAATTCTTGAAGCGTATTGTAAATGAGACTGACTCAACGATGTGTTGAGTTTATGACTATCTGCAACAATAATTATTAAAAATAACCTGTGAGTACAGTATTATTTATGTTTTATGCACTATGCAGTAACGCGAATATCACAGTTCAATAGAGAAGCGTCTCAGCTTCGGAAAATTAATTTTACAGAAAATAAACTAAAACATATTACTATTAATATTTATGATTTGTAGATGTAAAAATGATTGAATAAAATTTTGATTTTTTTTATTTTTACTGAATATATAAGCAAAAAAAATATTGAAAGTGTTAAAAATGCCAATTGATTATTAATAATAGTTCATTTTTTATTCGCCGTAGCTCAACAACAGTCGTATTTTATTTCATTGCCATTTATCACTAAAAATTTAATTTATTTCTTGCTCTTAACTCTGGACATATCAAACACACAAGTCTACCATGTGGTTAATTACTCAATATTGACCATTCAAATAACCTAGTCATATATAATTCATTAATAAAGAAAACTATATGAATATAAATATAAGTTTGCATAACATCATGCAAATAATTAATCGTGTAGCAAATTAAAATGGATAATAAAAAATATATTATCAGGTTTAAATAATAATTTTAATGAATGTCAATAAATTTATATTGCACTCTTACAGCCAAAAGTTTGATTATTAATTTTAAAAAAAAAATTATTATCGTATTAAAAAATATATATGTAATACGAATCTTTCATTCAAATTTTTATTTGTGTGTTTATTTTTATTATTCCTTTATAACAATAATAACTAAACACTATATTAAAGATCCCTGAATGAACTCTTTTATGCCCTTCATGGCAAATGTGTGCGATTCTGAGCGATCACATAACAACCGTTATCATTTATTTTGTTACTATTTATATTTTCTTATCCCTTTATTTGTAATCATAATTACTAATATTTTATTATCTTTATTAACGACAATACCACTATTTTATCAATTATTAATATCATGCTATCAAACTACTAATATAAACTTGATCATACCGAAGAATCATATGTTAACTCTTAAATTATCAATTAAATTTACAGAAAAAAAAATTATAATTCTATCGGTAACCATTTTAATTTTTTTTTTCAGAACGTTCCTGCCATTCTTTAATATTTTATTTTCATTATTCATCAATTCATACCGACATTATCTTTTGTATCACTTTAAACCATTTTTGTACATTTCTACAAATAACTATTTATATTCAGTGCTTCGACATGCCATTGACTTTACACAATTGTTTAAAATTCACGATTAAAAAATTATATGGCGACAATTTTATCATTATCACCATTAATAACTAATTAATAATGGTTACATTTTATTTTTCTGTACCTGTAAATGGGGTACCTGACAAAAAAACATTAAAATTGTATTTACTTTTTTTAAACATGTCTTGATCACTGCTAATATTTTTTATTGCACAACTACCATTCCTACATTTGCGTTTGCGTAAGAATTAATTAGTAATTATTGGAATAATGAACTAAATATGCCAGTTGTAGTTTTGATTATTAACATGAATTTTCTAATGATTAAATATATGCACATTATTAATTATACCTAGTCAGTAGTAGTAATATTAACATTAATAATAAAGGTCGAAGCACTAGAATCTAACAGCATACATTTCTCTCACTAACTTGTCGTAATGACTGTATATAAACGTTTGCAATCAATATTTGAACATTGTTCAAAACGTATATTATACGTTATTAGTTAATATATATCCCTGACGTAATTCTTCATAATGTAACTCCATCACAATTTATTTCTCTGTACAAATAGAATAAATCACAACAGCTGAACTGTTGGTGCTGTTTCCACGTCGATCGGCCTTCGCATCTCAATTTCAAGGTCGATCGAGCTCAAGTTGTCTCATCGATAAGCAGAAGCTTCTAACATTTCAACAAAGAGCTTATTCATCGGTACTTTACCGGTTCTATAAACACTTGACCAGAATCTTCTTACAATATTGTCAGCTTGCCGTAAACTTGGTAATATTAAAAACATATTTTGTGTAGCACGTACAGCTTGACCCTGCCGTACTGTTGATACCAAGTCAGATAATGCTGTTAAAATAGCATCACGAAAACGATACAATGCTTGAGGCTCATCTAGTCTTACATCACTATTGGTCAGTATCAATGCTTTTAAAATAAAAAATTCTTCTCTCGACAGGCTTAATTTTTGAATTCTTTCAACAACTTGGATGCACTAAAATTTCATTTATTATTATTTCTGTTATTATTCATTATTTTTTTTTTTTTTTTTTTTTTTTTTTTTTCCAGAAAATAACATACTTACATGATTATAAAGATCAGTGCAATGAGACTCACGAGCAAGCCTTTCATCTAATGTGAAATCCTGTGCGAACCTCAAACGTCCTGTATTCGGCATACTCCTCCACGCTAAACTAAATGTCAATATTTCTGCCCACGTACTTTGCAGAAGACGCATTTGATCATTTAATGCAAGGCTGCTAAAACCGGGAATTTGTTTTGCCCATCCTATATTTTAAAATAAAAATTATTAAATTTATATCAATAATAACAGCTGATAATACAAAAAAAAAAAAAAAAACTTACCAATAATACCAACAAGTTCACGATCATAAAGATCGGACAGTTGACCAAGTACTCGTTGGTCATTGTCAAGTGTAGGCGTAGTTGCATTAAACACCTGTAAAGTGTCCGGTTCACATGCCACGAGCGCTTCAATCATTTTGTTATCTATAATTAATGAAACCAATTAATAACAATAGTTATAAAGTAATTTATGTTAATTAATAAGAATTGATAAAATGAAAAGAAAAAATTGATTTGTGAGTGTGAGTTTATTAATAATGAAGATTAGTATTGAAAATAATTATGCAAAGTTAAAATTACAAATAAACAACATTATTGATAATAATAAAAATAATAAGAATGATAATAATGACGATGCAGAACAAATAATAATGACGGATGATAGCATGCAATCATGTGTGTAGAAGAGGCTGAACTCACTTGTATCTCCAGATCCTGATAATCCTACGTTGGCTTAAAACAATAAATTTAAAAAAATGAAGTTATTTATTCATGTCACCCATTTATTTTTTTTTTTTTTTTTCGGATCAATAAGCATAAATGCAGGTGTTAATAAAAATTAAAAAAAATGAATTATTAATTTTAATCATTGAACACAAAATAAAAGCAAACATGAATGTTTTTAATAAATTAAATAAGACAAACAAAAAATATTTATTGAGTAATTCAAAAAACAAATAATTATTTACCTTCAAGTGTGACTGTTTTAACAGGTAAATAAGGATCTGTAGCTCGTCGGTATTTTTGTCTACCACCACGTACACGATCCAACCGTACACCCTCTTTGAGCATTCCTTGTCTTAAGCACTTTTGGAACCTACATGCTTGACACGCTTTTCTTCTTCTCTTATTGATCTCGCACTCACCATTTGCCGGACAAGTATACTCAATATTTCCTGTAAAATTGCTTGCTATTTTATCATTATATTCACGCTCCTTTTTCAGACAGCACCAGTATATATTAATTACACTAAAATTAACCCATATAATATTCAAATAACTACAAACTGTTAAGAAAAGTAAATATTATTGAACATTTCTTAAATTTAGTTTTCTCTGTTCCGGATGGTGCTATCTGATAGAAATAAATAACATTCATGAAGCATTATAAATCTCAACAGGATATTAATTTACCTTGTATTGTTCGTTTGAAAAATGCTTTGCACGCTTCACATGAAGCTACACCATAATGAAAACCACTCGCTACGTCTCCGCATACTAGACACAGTCGTCTTGGTACCATATCTTCTTCTTTGACTCCATTCTATAAAAAAAAAAATACATGTATATCGTTATTATCCACATCAATGTTTCGCTTCAAAAAAATAATTATATATTTCAACTGATAAAAGGGAAAAGTTTGAAAAAAAATTTTCTTGATTCGAAAATTATTATAAATAATTTTTTAATAAATACATGATATAGAGTTCCAATTAATCAAGACTTATTAAAAAAAATTTTTAAATCGAGAGACAATAATATTTATAGTGACAATTATTGGATAATCGAATTCTCCAGCCCTAAAAATATTTTTTAACTGAAGCATTGAATTTTCTTCAGTGTCTATTTTTACATACTATAAAATAATTAATATATTGAAATAAATAAATTTTTTATAGTAAACGTGACGAATATCAATATACACGTATAATAATTACTATGATAAATAAGTCAACAAAATATTATATTAACCTCAAGAGTACCAATTGGTTGTGTTGTTGATGAACAATGTTGCATTTCAGGACTACCAGGACTCGTACCACTTCCATCACCACTGCCACCACCACCGTATTCTGTGATATCCATATCACGAAGAACCTAAAATATAATTTTATTAATAATGATAATATCATGATTAATTTATTAGTACCGCTTAAATAATTAATTCATGAATTAAATTTTCAAGGCTAATGATAAAAGTCTTTACCTCTTGATGTTGAATTGTTGTACTAGGTGAACAGACTTGGTGATAATTTTGTGTTGGCGTTGTTGGATTCTCAATTTCCTGCTTTATATTCGGTACTGTTCTATTGGTTGGAATCATAGTATCAGTAGTATTGCCGGACATCATGCAGACCTATACAAATAATTGTAAAAAAAATATTGTTATGATAATAAAAAATATCTTTATACATATGTATAATATATTAATTTTAATATACATTAAATTATCTTATCGAAAATAAAAAATTATTATTTGTATTATTTATTTTTATCTTATCAAGAGTGATATGTATTCGTTGTTGCATATTATTTTTTATTCAATAAAAAGAAACAATAAATAAATACGTATAAATAAAAATCAAAACGCATAAAACACGATAAGGACGAAAATTTTTTTCGCGTTTAAGTTTAAAGTTAAAATCTTGAGAAAAAATTGCACTTTTTTTACGGTTACTATTTTTAAGTTCGAGGCAAGTAAAGCATTTTTAGAACTGACTACCAAGAATTTTTTTCGCTTGTTCTTATTATTTTTTTTTCTCTGTCTCTATTTTTTTTTTTGCCGTTTCACAACAACTTGTCCCCTTAACTATTAAGTAAAGCTTTTAAGGAGAATAGAAAAATAGAAGATAAAAGACAAAAATTGAAGCAATTATAGAATAATTATTTCAAGACATCAATTATGTAGTTACAGAAAGATCGAAATACATATAAACATGTGCATTTATATTATATTGAATCACAGTTTTAGAAGCAAATGACGAAAAGGGAGAAGAAATAACTCCAGTTACCCTTGAACTCTACAGATTTTAAGGCTGAATTATTTAATTTCATGATCGAAGGTCAACATGTTAAATTGCATGTCTGTAACCTCGAAAAAATTAAGCTATTAAATAATATTAATTATATCTCTAGTTTTATTGACGTAATTTTTTATGTTAAATTGAAACACTACTAACAAATTTTTATACTATAATATAATCATAAAAACATTAATTGTTAAAAATTTAATAGATATTTTTTATTTATTTACACAATCGAAATATTATCTGTGTGGTATCTATGCAAAGAATAATTTATCTAAACATAACTAAATAGATCATTTTATACGAAATCGACGAATTTTAAGAATCATATTCTTCATTTAGTTAATTTTTTGAAAAGTTGTAATATATAATAAGAGAAACTTGAGTGTAAATTTTTAGTCCTTAATCTTTAAAAATTTATGAGTTATAAATTTTTAAGAACCAAAATAAAATTTCAGTATAATCAGTTTGAAAATGGGAGTGATTATTCATATGTAAAAAAGTCATATGAGTGTAAGCCTACCATATCTTGACCTATTGGAAAGCGATTTGCATCAATTATATGTTTCGCATGAATTTGGACCATTTCGACTCAATAGACTTGAAAAAATTTTTAAACTAAAATTTCCAAAAAAATATTTTTTTTTTGGAATACGTTGCGAACTGCTTTACTGATAATTTTCACAATCTAATCAGCTTTTAACTTTAAAAAGCAACGCCGATTGCCGCAAGTCGCTAGATTTATTCAAGAGATATATCATAAAAAAAAATTGTTTTTCTTCAATATAACTTAAAATTTTTCATTCGGATAAAAAAACTGCATTGAATGCTGCAAACCGCATCGGATTTGATCGACTCATTCAATAAATATAATTGTAGAAAAATTTCGGAAAATGTTTGTTTATTTAGAATAATTTTAGCATAAATTTTATGTTAAAAAGAGATCTTTTTTGAGTAGCAAGTTATTTTTTTTATCAAAGAGCTTGAAAATGTATAAAACTTTTATTTGTGAATTCGAATATAGTGAGAAGTACCAGGATGGCCTGCAGGGTCGACCGTTTATCAAATTATTATTCTGGTAATGATTAAGATCGCTACGAATCGGGTAACTATAGTTAAAGAAGAATTTCATGATTAAAAAAAAATGATTATATAATCTCTCCTATTCAATAATGGTATTTTAAAATAAATGGAAAAATTTCAAATGCTCATAACAAATTTTACAAACTTTTAATTTTAAATGTTTTTTTTAAATGACTATTTTTAAAAGTTTTCTCGAAAGAATCGCAAATAACGGGCAGGGTTGCGTAAGATTCGGCAGTCTCCCGGGTAGTTTTATTCGGTCATTCGATCCTTACCCGTTATTATATGTTATGATTTTTTGCAAAAGTCTTTTGTTATCTGTAAAAATAATTCATGTCTTTTTTATTAAGTAAGATCTTTACTATGAAGAGAATGGTTAATATTAAGTCTAGAATTAAAACAGTAAAGCAGAAAAAACAAAAGGCGCCTATGTTGTGAAAAATAAAAAAAAATAATAAAATTGATTACAAAATAACATAATAAGATGATAAAAGAAGGAAGAAAGATTTTCTATACATAAGTGACGTACAGAGACTTGGTCTTGTCGGCCTTGAACTTGGCTTTTCTGAGAGAACGAGCTGTAGAATCGCGAAGGCCAGGCCTGACGCGCCATTGCAATTTTAGACTCCGATCGTCGACGGAAATGTCCGACGTCGACGTTAGGCCGCAACGGCATCAGCCTTGAATTCTACCACTGCGAATCTTTTTTAATTTTTTTTTTTTTTTTTTAGAATTTTTTAGTAATCCTTGTAGGACCATTCGAAATAAAAAATTTTACTGATAATTGCTTATCATTATTCTAATAACAATTGTAAAATAAATCAAACATTTGAATAATAATAATAGTAAATAAACGTTTTTATTTTGCTATTTTGCTATTATTCAATTTTTATTATAGTCATTAAATCGTCGTTATTATCTTCAAATAAATTAAAATGTCAAATAACATACTGATTGAAAATAGAAATTATTTAACTTAATTTTTTGTAAATAATAATTTTATGGTAGACTGTAAATATTAATTTGACGGAAATTTTTTGCTACGCGGCAATCAAAGTTGATGAAGGAAAAAAAAATTTATTGATGAAACCGATGGCGGCCTGAGGCTTTAAGGACAAGTTTGTAGTATGTGCTTCCGGTGATCGCTGTATCAAAATTTGCGGCTTTCTTAAATAGCGGATGAAAAAATTTTAATGAATTAAAATAATTTTTGTCATTTTACCGGTGTATAAACTTAAGACACGAAAATCGACTAAATTCAAGTAAATTTAATTGATAATTATTTCCAATCCTCAAGATAATTTAATATAGTTTACCAAAACATCGATAAACAATGAATAAACAAATTTTTTAAATTAAATTAATTTTTTAAGGATTTTCTTATCTATGAGGGTGTCTGACCTCGCTTAGCGGCTTATCGCAATTTAACTTATACGTTATCCGTTACCAAGTGCATCTTTCATCAAATAGAACAAATTTTAGCACTTGATCAATAAAAAAAAGTAAATGTGTAAAAAAAAATAATTTAAGCTGTTGTCAAAATAATATTCACTAGTTAAAAAACTCCCCTACAATTCAAATGTTAAGTGTTTTTTTATTTATATTTACTCTAAAAAAAAATTCGTTTCAAAGCTTAATATTATTTCATCCGATGACCCTGACCATTACAACCCTCCTCCGACGTTTTTTATATTCCCGAAAAACACCGCGTACCTCGATCAATAAAAAAATATACACATACATGTGAATGTGCGTCACATTTTTTTACTGTTTGAAACAGATTAATTTTTTTTTTAAATAGTAATATATTTTTATTTACTTTTTGCTCAGTGAAAATGAAACCGTTACGTCAAATTTAATACAAACGTTAAGTTATGTATTCCGACAGATATTAAAAATGAAAAGTAAACAAATAAAGTTAAATAAAAAATCGGATAAATAAAAACAATATTATGAATTTTTATTGTCACAATTAATTATTTATAATAAAAACAATAATAATAATAACAGTAAACTAAAAATATCTCAAGTCTGACTAAAGAAATGCCTACTCTACTAGACATATAAAGCCAACTACAAACTATAAATTTAATTTTACTCTCTTAATTTTGTAATAAATAAAATTTATGATACTCAGTATACTATTATGCAAAATATAAATAAATAAATAATTACTGAGACTTATTATTTAAAAATAAATTTTAATGCCCCGTTAAAATTAGCCATATAATTAGTTTTATATAAAACACATATTTGTAATAGAGATAAAAATTTTTCTTAGATTATATTATATTATTATTGTGTATATAAACGAAGAGTAAGCCACATGCAACTATAAACTATAATATTGCAGCTCAGTAAGTTATATTAGTAATGTTCGTGTATTAGCTCAATTACTAGATTGTTACTCCGTTCATGTACAAGTATAAAGACACAACTGGGGGTCGCCTATCAACTACAAGTGCTCTATCGCAAAATTAGGTTGCAGCAATAAACTGTAAAAAAAATTTTTTTGTTAATTTTTAAAACTAATATAACATATATTATATTACGCAATTAAAGTCTACTGACAAGTCTGTTGCCCGAGGTCAGCTTAAAAAATTCGACAACACAATACTTAAGTGTAAGTATAAAATTAATGTGTTTTTTTTTTTTTTTTTTTTTTACGAAAATTTTAATTTCAATGTAATGTCGTTATATATATATATATCTTTTTTAAAGGATATTTATATTATATCAAGTATCAGATTCAAATCGGCTTTGAGTCATGAATATTATGCATCAAGTAGTCATCTGATGAAAACACCGAGCAGAGTTAAATGCAATTCAATAGAGTACTAACTCACGTAAGCATGTTAATCGCATCCTGAAAACCAGATTTTCAATGTGAGATTTAAAAAAAAATCTACAAATGTAGATAAAATAAACAAAAATAAAAAAGAATGAGAAAATCAAGAAAGGCTGCAAAGATTTAATAAAATTATATTTATTGTTATGTGTTGAGACAAGTATAAGTCAGACGATACGATGGCACTCCACTCGAAAACATTGGATTGGAGAATTTGCCTGGTTACATAGTGTCCAAGGTTAGGGCTGGCCCGGCTGTGGAGAGTGACGTCACCGACGTCTCGTGGCCTTAAACTTGACTCCCCCCGCATGGCGACGCCTACCTTGCCCAGTAACCATTACATACACTTGAATATAAAATTGTTTATACTACATTACATTATAGTATACATTTTAAATCTTCCTATTTATATAAATATACACCAAAATACCTAAAAAATGTATTAAAAACTTTTGCACAGTTACGATATCCAGAATATCTATGACTGACTACGACGGGTCTTTTATTCGAGGAATCAAAGTTATAAAATATATAACTTCGATGTAATATTTTTTATTATACTGGAATCAGCGGACATCTGATCACTTTTGGTTTTATTTAATAACGAATGAATAAGTAATAAAAAATTTTTTTTTACATTTCTATTAATAGTTTTTATGAAAAGAAGTTGTAAATAGCTCTTAGCTAAATAAAGTATTATTATTATTACTTTTTAAGTTCCTGCAATAATTTATTATTTGTTTAAAAAATTCTAAAAATTATCAAAATGTTTGTTAATTTTAGTTTATCACATTTAAAAAAATAAAATATGGGAGTCAAAACTAAAAAAAAATTTTTTAGCGGATCTGCTACTCTAATACGAGTTACATCTGTTGAGATTTGATTAAAATATTAATTATATTTAATTGATATACTAGAAATTTAAATTGTTCTCGTCCTAACTAATAAGAAATTAGGATCCATTTTTATCGATAAGTTTTGACACTAAACTAACTAGTTCAATCATGAATTTTATATTTTAGATGATGATACGACTGATATAAAATGTAAAATTTTAATTCGATATCCATATTAACGTTTAATTTTATTAATATCATTCGTCACATAGCTTTATTTCTTTATGGAAAAACAAAAATATAAATAAATTAAAATAAGTAAATAAATAAATAAATAAAATGGCCAAGTTTATTCTAGCATAGACTTTTCTATTTTATTTCTTCGAGATAGCGGAGGAATTATTTATGCGAGCCTTGTAGACGAGACTGGAGCATTGATTATCGATTCAGACATATGAGATGAATATGAAGTTTTTTTACGTTTTACTTTTTTATTTGTTATTTTAGTTTTATATGATGTTAATTCAAAAGATTGTTAGCTTATTTTGGTTCAATACAATAATTATTAATTCATAATTTAATTTTTTATTTACAAGTGAAAATTATTTTTAAATAAAATAGTTTGAAAATTAATAAAAGTTTTATTGTAAATATAAATATTTTTATTTTTTCGATTAATAAAGTATAATTTTTCAGGTTAATAGTTAATATTTATATTTTATAATTTAATTAAAGTTCTGTATTATAAGACAGTTGGATAACAGTTGTCCATACTGTTCAACGTTTTAATATAATCTTAGGATATAAAGAAAATGATCTTGAATTAACAACTTGAACTAATTAAAATTTTTTATCTCAATATATATTACATAAATATATTGTGTGTAATACTAAAGTTTATGAAATAATTATTTGTAGATGTTTCATTAAATAATAGGACACATAATTTTACTAGTGTGCTAAAGGTAAATATTTACAACAATTTACAAACATTGGGAAAATCTTGGATAAGTTTTACTTAAAAAAATAAAAAAAAAAAAAAAAATATAGAGTTTCTATAGCGCTTTGCTAGAAACTTTTTTATCAAGTTTAATCACGTTATCAATAATCATAAAAAAAATTTAGTAATTTATTAATTAAGTATACCAGTATGTATATTTTTCTGAAGGCTGTTAGACAAAATATGTATGTATATATTGAATGTTATTTATAATTAAGTGTGTAGTCAAAGTCAAAAAATAACCGCAACTGATGAATGCAGCGAAACGTAAAAAAAGAAACCAGAAAAAAAAATTTTTTTTTTCTACTTCAGTGGAGTGAGCTCATCGCAATCTTCAAAAAATAAGCAAGCTTTTTTTTATCCTGCGCCTTGAAAACTAAACTATACAGCCGAATTCAGAGAATAAGGCGTTCCCGTGTGTGTTATATTATTTTGTGTGTTTTGCTCGAACCAGTCATTAATGACTTAATTATTTCTAACCAACTGAATTGAATTAGAACTATTAATTAATTATTTTAACTAATTTATTTCGTATGTTTACAGAAGATTTCTATAACAAATAATTATATAGTGTTATATCATAAAACCGGTAAATTTTTCATAGAGTACAAAGGGTTAAATTAAATAGATTAAGTCATGAACTAAGTGTTTGTCCTATTTGATTCAAATTTTTCGACTTGATAATCATGTTCTTATATTCGTTTCATGTAAATAAAATAAAAATATTTTTTGTTAAGTTACTTGATACCTATGTTGTTTGATTTTTTATTTATTGATTTTTATAATAACTCAAATTATATTAGATTTTTTACGAACATTTTCCGCAAAATTCTTTACAAAATAATTATATCGCAAACATCTAGACTGAGAAAAATAACTTCACTGAAAAGAAGAAATACTATAGGGAACAGCAGATTTCTCAAATGAAGAAATTATTCTTGAGTTAGGTAGGTAAATTTTACTTTTAATTAATCAAGGATACTTTTGTTTGATTCAGGATGAAATTATTTAAAAACATTTTTTTCTCTTGAATCAATTAAATTTTATTCTTTTTTGAAGTTTATTATCGGCTTAACATTTAAAATCAAATGAATTAATATTTGAGACGAGTGAAAAGAAAATTTTATCGGTCATAAATAAAAAAAATAAAAAAATGGAATTTAAAAATTTTTCAGATTATTATAAATATTTTATTATCACGAGACATACCACATCATAAATCCAGGCGTCCATGGCCGTATTATCATACATCCCTGTATTGAATCCGTATTTTATTATTTAGTTATTTTAATTAAAAGTAATAAATGTTTCACAAGTTTATTTGATTCACCCTTTACTGTTTATTTTATTAATAAAATTTCTTTTGGTTTAAAGCTTCAAGTGTTTATTTAGATTATATATTATTATATTAACAGTAATTGTTTTTATTTTTGTATCGAGGTAGTAATAAATGGTAAGGAATAATAAAAAGGATCGGATTAAATAAAGGACGAATTAGTTAAAGCTCAAAAAGCGTGATCGTATTATCACGCACGCGTATTTTTTATCGCGACTTATTTGATGTTTACGGCTCGGCGGACCGCGCGCGACTGTACGATCGCCCCGGTATTATATTCCCTCTGTTATATGTGACACAACGGTAACGTTAATATATAAGAGACATATAAGCTGTATAGTAGAGCAGACTGCGTGAGAATAAAATCAACCGAATGAAAGAAGATAAAAAATACACGAAGCGAGGGTGGGAATAACGAATTTGCGATTTACTGAGATACATAATACGAGTCAGCCTTTTTCTTACGTACTAGTAAGTATTCGATTTTTATCGATACATACTATATTTCATAATATTTTTTTTATTCTTTTCAGCTAAAATTTATTTTCAATTATCAGATTTGTTTTGATTTTTATAAATTACTTCGTTTTGAAAAATTTATATTTTTTCAATTTTTTAATTATAAATTAAATTAAAAAATATCTAATACATAAAAATTAATTTATAAACCTGACCTTTAAACTTTTAAGATTCTCGAATTCTCACAATTGTCAGACACAACGCAATTACCATAAACAATTATCATTTTTTTTTTTATGTATGTAGAAGATGATGCCTATGTACCCCCAAAACTTTAATATATTTCAAACGAAATTTAAAAAAAAAAAAAAAAAAAAAAAAAAAAAACGAATAAGTGCAAAGTATAAAAAAAGTACTATTAATTGTTACAACGACCTATGTCTATTGTAACTTATTTTTTACTTAGGACAGAATGATGAAAAAACTTTTTTAATTTAAAAAATATTAATGTTTTAGGAAAATAACTTAGGTATAATCTATAAAAGGTATTTCATAAAATATACACAGACTAGCGGACCCGACAGACGTTGTCCTGTACACACGTCTTAAATTTAGAAATTTTAGGAATGAGCTTGTATAGTTAAAAACATCATTAGTTAACAATATGCAATGGGCATTCTTCAATAATTAACATTTTCGTAAATATAAGCCTCAAAAAATATTCTCATTTTATACTCATCAAGAGCTTTCATTTGAGTACCCACATGAATTTTTTCATACATCTTATATGATGTTTATAAAATATATGAAAAGTGCATGTGGGTACTCAAGGTCAACAACAATTTATAAATAAAAAATCTATTAAATAAACATTTTCCTGTGGACTGAATTGTGAATCTAAACCATTCTGGAATCCATCGAAAGACACACAAAAAATTTCATTAAAATCGGTCCAGCCGTTTAGGAGGAGGTCAGTGACAAACACACGCATAAAAGAAATATATAGATAAAGATGTGAGAAAATTCAGATAGCTCGGACTGGGATTTAAACCCAGAACCTCCCGATTACATGTTGGCTGCACTTTAATTTTTAATTTTTCTATTCTTCAATATTTACGATTTTTTTTTCAAATGTTTTTTGTTTTATAAACCATCTTTTAACTATAACGTACAAAGGAAAATTATCAAAATCGGTCCGCAATTCATTTTTATAAATATAGATGTAGATTTTATACGGTGATTAGGTATTCTTAAATTTTCTAATTTTCTTAATTTTTTCTTTCATAAGAACCTCTTCCTGACATTAACAAACTCATCAAAAAAAGAATTAGTAAAATCGGTCCAGCCGTTAACGCGTGATGGTATGACCAAAGGAAATAGGGATTCATTTTTATATATATATTACATAGATTATATAGATTGAAGTTACTTTGGATGAAGTAGAAATTTAAAATAATCACAAAAAGTTTGGAAAATCCAAAAGTGCACGCCTCATAATCTCATTGATTAAAATAAAATATAAAAAGCAAAATAATAAAAAACAGAAAACACTAATTGTTTATGAATGTTGTTTCATCATAATACCATTTTGATATTGTTAAAACAAAATTTTATAAATATATAAATGTAAGAGTAAAATATCTAAAATCTACGAGTCTCAATACATAGATAGAAGCTATGAAATTAACTTTAAAATAACAATAGTAGACTGACATTTTTTATTTATCCATATTCGGACAAAAAAAAAAAAAGTTGAAATTAGTTTTTAATAAAAAGTCTAAAAAGCGGTTGACTTGCAGACCATCTCTAGAACTTGGCGTTTTTTTGAGCTCGAAAATCTTTTAATTGGTTCATTTTTGAGCTCTTCTAGCTAAAAAATTCAAAAACTATATTAAAAAAACAATTATTTAGAAATTTTTATGAATTTAACGTTTTAGATATCATGCTATCACAATTTTCGAGGAATGAAAATGGCTCGTGAATTGAATAAAATTTTACAATTTTAGATAAGACTAGAAAATTTATTTTAATTTCGGCTGGCGAACGACCTTCTTTTATAATGAAATTTCATTTTCATCAGAAAGCTAATAATTTATCAATTCCTTAAAAGCTCAATTCTTCAGAGAATTTTAATATTTATGGAGAAAATATTTTTACAATTTTAAATGCTCCAAAAAAATCATCAAGGAGCATGCTGCTAAAAAATTTTCTTAGTGAAATGAGTCATGTAATAGATTTATGTCAAAAAGTTTATTAACATTTACCTAAATAAAAATTTTTATGGATATAACATTATTGGAAAAGGACGGAAGGACGTAATAACATAATAAAATATATTTAAGCTCCATAGATCGATGAAGCAGAGCCGTAAAAAGTGTCTCGAGAGCTTTAGTTATAAAAAAGCTTTTATCCTTTGGATGGGAGCTGGAAAAGAGTTTAAGATAATAAAGATGTATATCGTGTCAATATAACGTTATATTGAACGCATCGAGCCTTACGCATCTATTGCGTGAATGTAGTACGAAATTCTGCATTTGTGCGAAAGTGGGTACTTTAAACGCGATGCGGCTAATAAATGTAATGTCAGAACGAGATAAACAAAAAGAAAAAGGAGACTGAAGAAGAAGAAATAGGCAATAGAGAATGAATATTGCGGTATGGAAAGACGTAAGGGGTCGGTAACGTCGGTGGCCTTGAACTTGGTTTTATAGTCGTTTTTGCTCTGTCGATCGTCCAAAACAGCCCACCAACGTAGATACTAAATTCAAAACCCAGTTGAATATTTACTATTTTATTTTTTATCAACAACTATTTTTAGTTGTTTAATTTATTTACATGTTTACGGTATTGTTCATAACTTTTGTTATAAACATTGAACAGATTGCGCATATTAATGAGTAAAGTTCAGCTTTAAGTTAATCTTAAATTGCAATGGAGAGTTAATAATCTCAACTTCTCTTGACGTGAATTTTTTTACGTAAAAAGCTAAAACTGAGCACATGGATTGAGTATGTTAATGATGAAAAAGCAAATAAGGGTTATATTATAAACCTACTAAGTATTAAATCGATATCAATACTCTTAATTTAATTTTTTTACTCTCAATTTATTATGTCTAATGAATAAATCATATGAGTACACATCTACATATTTCATATATACCTGATTATTTATGAGTTTAAGGAGTTTTAAAAAGGTAAACAAAAACAAATATCTTAAAAATTATTTATAAGAGTTGAATATATGAGAAAGAAATTGATAATGAAAATTAGTTGAATTTTTGTTTTGATCAAAATCTTTCATTGAAGATAATTTATTGACGATTTTTTATTATAAAAAAAAATAGCTTGCTAAATTAACACATTAGTTTTAGTAATTGCAAAATTATTTTTGGACGATCCAATTATAAGGTGGTTAGTTTGATATTAATTTTCTTTCGTTTTTATAACTAATATACCCAACTATTTATGATTCCTTAATGAATTAAATAAATAATAAGTTTGTAATATAGATGTACACCTAGACACTTTATTTCATTATCAAGTTTATGGCAAGATGATTATAATTTATAATCATCAATATTATAGATACTCGAATAATAATAAATTTTATTTTTGATTGTTCAATTGAAATTATGACTGTATATTTTTTAAATGAACTCATGTATTTACTCAATATATAAACCGACATACTAAAGATGTAACACATTTTTCGACTGCCTGCGAGAAGCGATTATTGTTTCAGATGGAAGGGTTTATCAGTTAGAGCTTAAAATTAATATTTTGAACAAGTTTACTAATTTTAGTCACATTTGTTATCTGTAAAAAAAAATTATCAATACATCTTCTAAATTAGAAGTTAATTAAACAAAGATAATTAAAAATGGATATTCATCTCATGAGAGTTAATAAAATTTGAACTTCGTCAGTATATTGTCAATCAAAAATTTTTGTTATTTAATTTGAAATCACGATAAATACTAAAGTAAAATCGATTCAAATTTTTTATTGACAGCAGAAAAGGGTTTCGTAATACTTAAATTATTCTTGTCACAAAATCAAGGTCAATTATTACTGTGATAGTACACTTTAGAATGTAGCTAAAATAAACCATAAATTTTATATTTAATTTAATTTTTAATTACATAAATAAATAAAATTAAGCAACTAATAAAATTATAAAAATTATTTTCAATTCACAAGCATTGATGATGTTCAGTAATAAGTATATGAGTGTATATGTTTGTGTATAAATATGTATATCTATATAGATATATATGTATACGAAATTGGTAACAAAGATGGCGATTGAAATCATACCTGTACTACTAGTTACATTATTACAAATTCAGGGCACCTAGATTTGAAATTCAACTACGAAATAATAAATAACAATTATATTATGTATTTATATTTACCTTGGTTATCCGCAATTTTTAATATATTTATTATTATAACTGACACATAAGTATATTTATTTACATAAAAACTCAGTGAATAATAATAATCCGTATAATTGTTAATTCTACTACGATCCACTCAAAGCGGAATACTGTGGAACTAGTAGATAACATGTAAGTGGCGACATCCACATAAATGTGGCAATTATTGGAACTATATTTAAAAATAAAATATTTTTTTTTTTTTTTTAGTCAATAAGGTTGTGCTGACCCCTGAACGTCATAACTAATATCGCATTTCATAATTCAGAAAAAAATGTTTCTCTATTTTTCGCGTATTAATTTCTAAATCATATTGCACAAAGATGTAAACATTGATAATTTTTTTCCTGACCTCATTTTTGATTAAAAAATTAAAAAACAGAAAGTTTTACCTATTTTTATTAAAATCTATGATTGTATGAACAATTTTTAATAGATTTGTTCTACTTTTCGACCGGTGAATAACAAAAGATTAAAAATTAAAATTAATAGTGATTCAAAAACGAAAAAAAAAAAGCAGTAATTTTTCCATGTAACTATTTAAGACTTGGGTTAAAAAATTATGTAATTCGTATTTTAAGCTTTCTAATAATCATGATTAATTTCAAAAGTTAAAGATTTTTTTTTTTTTTCGTTTGATCAAAAATAAAATGAGAAAAATATAGATTAAGTATATCTTTAAACGAGGAAAATATTATTTAGATAGATTACTAACCGTTTTGAATATATTCATTTACAAAATACAATGTAATAATTATTTGATTCAGTAAGTTATAATAAATATACGTATATTTATTTAATAAAAAAATACAAAATACTATAGATACTAAGGAATTATATCATTTTGTTGTAAATTCATAACAATTCAAGACATGATAATTTTAATTAAATTCGAAGAATTTCACCACCAATACTATTTTCAGTCCATTGATCATTACTTCGTACATTGAATTGAGTATAAAGGCCTTTTGAAACTTTAGATGGATTAATGATATGTGTACCATTACTGTATTTATAAAAGTATTGCATGGCTGAAGGTACTAAAAGAATGTGAGGGTGGACATTCATTGTACTGCATTCGGCCCACAAAAGTAAGTCTAATGGTACTTCTGGTGCTGGTGGAAAAAGTGGATAATATGATGATTGTAACAATAAGTGCTCAGCTAAACGTCCTAGTCGATCACGCTGTGGCATTTTACTAAAATAAAATAAATAAAAATATATTATTTATAATTTTTGCTATTTTTTAAAAATCAATTATAATTGAACTTACTAGCTGATTTCTTCGCTACTCAAATGTCTAATAATATCAACAGATGTTATTCCAATAATTAAACCATCAACTTCAATTGTGCATGGATCAGGCATTAGATGAAGATTTGGCTTCTTTACTGACTCGCGTAAACGATATTCCGGAGTAGGATAGAAACCATCATGCAGAACATCTTCGTACGAAGATACCAATACCACTTGAGTAGATTTACTGTTGAAAAAAAAAAAATGATATTAATTTTCTATCAATCGTCAATTATTACAATTCAAGATAAAAAAAAAAACGTACCCATCGACATAACTCATAATTTTAGTAATTAAGTTTTCAAACATATCTTTTTTGGGTGGTACAATATCTTTCTCAGTCATAAGAGGACCAATAAGAATTAAGACATTAGGCTCTGTTTGCGCCACATGAGCCATTAAATTGTAAAGTTGTTGATAGTTACCGGGTTTAGAAGTAAATGGACCCGCGGCAACCATTATATGTAGAGGTTCATTTAATACAGGCGGTTTAGGGCCAAAAGAAATACCAGGTATAACCCTATATGCACAAAGTGTATCTTTAGTAGGATTTTTTCCTTCAACACTTATAATTTGACCAGGAAAAAATGAATAGCATTTGAGTCGGCTGACATCTAGTGGTATACATTCTTTTCTTGTTCTTATATCTATAATTACTGGATCACCAAGTGATTCTTTTTCTTCTTCTGTCTCTTTTTTCTTTTCGTTTTCTTCGTCTTCATCTTCTTCTTTTAATCCTGTTTCTTTTCCTCCTCCTCCTTCTTCTTCTTCTTCCCTTTCTTCTTTTACTTTTACTTCTCCTCTTCTCTCTTTCTCCTCATCTGAATCCTCCTCATCAGACTCTTCCGACTCAACAATTTCGATGTTATCATCTACTTCATTATCTTCATAATCTTCAGTCTCATATTCACCCAATGAATGATACCAATGATCTGGATCACCCATCAGTAAGATAGACGTAGTAGTAAGCTTACCATCATTATCTGTAATAATACGACCCCACGTACGGAATTTGTTGAAAGTTTTTTCACGAACATTTGATGTTATGACAAGCTGCTCCTTATCTTTCAGCCATATTTCACAAAAAACTCTGGACATTAATCGACACAAATCATTCAAAACGCTATAATCCTTCATTTGAACAAACAGATGTGCCTCGATAGGTGATGCATGAGGAAAATCTGTTCTTTGGACTTTACTTTTATGAGGTGATACATTATTCCAGTCAGATAATGCAAATCCAAATTTAAGAACAATTTCTCCACTTCTACTCTGTCTGCAATAAATATGAATCCCAATTAATTAGTTAAACCAATAAATAATATTTATATATGTGTGTATATAAAAGTGTAGTTAAAAAATTAAAATAATTACATAGTACTGGCGTCAATGTCTTCATCGTCATTCTCTTTGTCTTCATGAACTTCTGGATCAGCAAAACTTGTTTCATATTGGATCTGCTCAAAATCAAAGACTTATCAGCCAGGAAAAATAAAATAAAATTTACATAGACATTGTAATAAATGTTCATGTTTGGAAAACTGCTATTATATCTGTAAAAACTATTCAAATAATTTTTATTTCATACTTATAACTGTTTTTTATCTGACAGAAGTTTCAAAAACAGGACGCTGTAGACGAGTGTGTATCTAGTCACGATTTTAAATATAAACGTGCACCAAATTCAAACTCGTCCATAGCATAGTCTCTGATTAGAATCCTAACTGTGATAAACAGTTATCAAAAAGATAAAAAAAATGTAAATAAATTATTTCAGTTATAAATGAAATAAATTTAAATTCTTAATTTAATTTTACAAACCAAATCATGTTATGGTATATTGTAAAATAATTTCACCCGTTGCGGCGTTAATAACCGCATGAACTTAATGAGTGTGGATCTAGTCACAATATCAAAACAATGTGCACTAGACCATCACCCACTCAGCACATTCGGTTTGAAATAGTCTTTTCTTTGTAATAAATATCATTTAAAATTATTGATATGTACATTCTATATAATAATAAAAATAAGAATAAAAAAATAATAATAATAATAATAATAATGATAATAAAGGAATAACAAAAGGCATTTCATACAGAATTCATATAATGAAATAAAATAAAATATGTAATTTAACATTCGATAGTAAATTTTAGTAATCCCTACTATTCATTGAATATATACGCAGACTCTTGAATAGCGACTAAGTTCTAGACTACGATGCGGGAAGGTTAACTGCCGTTAACCTGGCACATTCAGAACGCGCTTCGTTGTCCGTTATGTATAATAATAATAATAATAATAATAATAGTAACAATAATATTTTAATACCCTTTTTTTTTCTTCACTTTCTTTCCGTTGCCTGAGGCATAAGAGAAGTTATGTACTTTTATTTCGCTCTCGTAAATCGGCAAATGGAGCACATAAGAAATAAAAACCGTAACTCAAGTTATCGCGCGTATTTATACATCTTCAGCACGTTTTTTCTATCTCTCTCTCTCTCTCTCTTTCTATAAACCAAGATACTATGTGTATCAGCTACCAGCAAATCACCGCTTTAAATTGACGTAGTAATTTCCAGCATCTAAACACTCACTAATGTTGTGGAATTACAGTATTTATTTAAAATCCAATTTACAATGTACGAGAAAACAATCTCTTGGAAGTTAACTCGAGGGAAGACGGCCCTGGACTGACCGCCGAATGAATATCACGGTTGTGTGAAAGAGAAGGGATAATTTATAAGAGATGGTGGAATTGAGAACGAGTGAGTGAGTGAGTGAGTGAGTGAGTAAAAGATAAAAAAATGAGAAAGAGAAGCTTTGATTCGTTGTGCCGATCGTATAGTGGTTTTCGGAGCGATCTCAGACTTCTCTTCCTTCCCCTACTATACAAACTCTCTTCTTGTTGTCTCTCCTACCGTACCAGCATAAACTCAAAGCGTCTGATGCCGTTTTATTTCTTTGGTTGTGTCAGAGAGATCCAACTTGGGTAGTAGTGTAGTGACTACTATTCTCTTTCTTGCTCTTTCTATCCTTTCTCAAATCACATACGCTATTTACCAGAACTACTATTCTCATCTAGTCTATACCATTATCATCAATATGGTTGTAGTATACAATGATATACTACTACGATCACTACCATCATCAAGATCATCACCACTACCATAATATATTTTTCTCTTTCTCCCTCTTTTCGTCATATTTACTCCACTCTTGTCTCGAGTCCCTTCGAACCGTGGGAAATGACGTTGAACTTTTACCAGTTACTTGCGTTTCACAATGCGGGACGCAAACAGCCTAGCCATACTACCAGTAAGCACACGCTCGAGATTTACTAAGCCAAACCGATCAGGGGAAAATTAAAGGAACAAATGATAATAAATTTAAATTAGTCAAAACGAGAATTATACACCAATACTACATTTATATACGTTTCTTTTTTATTTGATTAATCTTTGTGTCATATGAATTCACGTAGACATCGCGTGCAGTTATGTCAAAATCGAAATTATAATTATACTACTGAGGACCCGAAGAAGACAACTGGGGAAGAAAAAAAACAGATCGTTAATTGTATTTAATTGATTGAAACAAGCTATGCCTATTCACCATGACATTAAAGTTAGCAGTCACTAGAGAATTTTTTAATTTTTTTTAACAAAAAAATTTACTCAAAAGAATTATTTTTAAAAAATTGCATTTGTAATTTTTTAAAATTTCTAAATGTCAATTTTTTTTTGCCATAATTTATTTGTTAAAAAAAATTCTAAAAATTATTAAATATCTGCTAAATTGATTCTCATCTATTCACCTACTGTTATTGGATTGTCAACTAACGGTAGAAGAAACCACGCAAAAATTAAAACTTTTTATTTTTGTTAGATAAATATTTTGTTAAAAAATACTCAAAAATTGCTTGTAATCAATATTATCTCATTTGTGATCAGTCAAGCGTAATTTTATTTAGGTTGCTATGAATTTCCAGAAACCTAAGGAGTAGTCAGGTCACGCTACTGCCCCCTGCTAGGAACGGGATCCTTTGAAAAAAGGAACTGAGAATAAAAAAAATGTTAAAATGGAGAAAAAAAAAAGTCCGTTGTCCGTTGCCCATTGTCCCTTGTCAGGTAGAGCGTCCTTTTAGATAGATTTTAGCAAAATAAAATTAAAGGCAAATAATGGATTCCTTTAGTTTGGTTTAATTTTCGTTGGCTGCGTGTTGAGGCTTATAACTAAACAATTAGACAACAGAATAAAATTTTTTCATGGAATTATAAAGATAAGTTGTTTTCACATAACCTTGAGAGAAACTCTTAAGGAAATGAAGAAAAAAAACTAGCGAACGTATAAGGAAAAATCGTTAGGGAGCGAATGAAAACAGAAGGTGGTATGTGTAAAAATTTTAGAAGGGCTCAGTGCAATGGAACAAAGGAGTGTTTGGCGTTTCTATATTTTTATCGCAAGACGCAATCTATTCGGAGAAGAGAAACGCGAGGGAATGCGCGTCGTTTGGTTGCTTTTAATCGAGATAAGAGTCTTGAGAATAGTTAATCTTTCGTAAACACGCGATCAAATAATTGACATTTGGACGCTACTGTCACTCAACACGACTTTTTTTTTTTTTTTTTTTTTTTTTTCCAAATTTCTAGTGCCTGCAAACTGAAAGTAACAAATAATAGAAATTAATAAAATATGTACTCAAAAGTACTTGTGCAGGGATAAAAATCAAATCAAGTAAAAATAAGACGCGAAGCGTTGGTGTCGCTGAGCCTCTCGGAAGGGAAGCAACACCAGCAACAGGTAGCTGAGAAATAGCGTCCGGCACATTTATATTGAACAAAGGAAAAAAAAAATACTTTGATCGTTTCCAAGAGTGACCAATCGCTTGGAGCCAATGATCCCTGACGAACATCTCACAATCTTCGTAATACGATAACTAAAATAAAATAATAATGAAAATAAATTCTGAAATAAATATACATTGATATAACGGAATAAAAGAAGTATCATTTTAAATAAATGAATAATGACACATTGAATTGATGGGGACGAATGAATGAACACAACAAACGTTGGCGGAAAATATATGACGAGCTAACCGGAACTATCGAACGCAAAGCAACAGGTTGTTTGTTACGCTTGGAAGAAAAATCACTGGGAAGTTGAAACAAAACGTAACGCGTTTTACCACATACGTACAAACGATTCCGTCAACCAATCGGATTTAAATATACATAATATATAAAATAATAATACACTTTAGTTTCACATTCACTTAAAACTTGAATTGCTAACTAAAATTAAAAATATTTCATTTGTTAAAAACAAAAAAAAAAATAATGACAATACTATTAAATAATATATTTTCACTGTAGCGTCTAGTCGCCGAGCGGCGTCTTCAGAGCGTCTACCCCGCGACAGACGATTTATTAGTGATGATGGTGGGGCAACAAGTAGTTGAGAGATGGAGTCTGTCTCTTAGCTGGCAGCAGGAACCAGCAAAGACTACGCGCCACCTTTCGAGTGGTATTGAAAGAAAAATCATTCGCGATACGACGCTCTATCGAACCATCATCACTGACGTAAAATCGTAATGTCACACACGCCGGTTACAGTAACTATAATAACTATATGTACTTTCTTTCTTATTCCCTCTCTCCTGCCCTTTCTCTTTTATTTCTTCTCTTTCTGACAAAGCGTAAGTCTAATTTAATCTAATAATTAAATGAATGATACTACTAATACAATTGTATTTTATAATCTTATGATGTATAAAATTTTTATATGCTCATGTGTAGTTTGTAGCAAATAACTAAATGTGAATTGTAGAGTTTCTCACAATCACCAACTACTTTTACACCACAAGAGAAAGCTGACGTCTTAAACTCATGGCTTATTATGATCAATTGCTCAATTCAATCCATAGAGTTACTACGTTATTCATGAAAATTAAGTTAGCTGACATATAAAAATTTTTAGAATTTTTTTTTATTGAAAAAAATGATTACAAAAAAATTAAAAAAAATTTTCACTTGTAAAAAACTTCAAAAACTGTAAGTGCAATTTTTAAAAAATATTTTTTCGTTCTAATTTAATTATTAAAAATAAAATCAAAAAATTACAAACGTCGGCTAACTTTAGTATCATACGTTATTCATGTATATATTGGTTTTATTTAAAACAACGCCACCACAATTGTACAATATTAAACAAAAAAAAAAAAAAAAAAAAAAAAAAAAAAAAAAAAAAAAAACCAAATCGAATTTGAAATGTCGTTTTACCCTACTTGTAACAGTGTAATTCATAAGGCAAGTTGTTTATCGTAAAACAAATAAAATACATAGTATGAATTTATAGATGTATGTAGGGACAATTAAAAAAAAATTTGTCGATAATACATGAAGATTTAATTTGTATGAGTGTAAAGTAATACATGTAACCGTTAAAAGCGTCGGCTTTGTCTCGGTTGAAAACAGAGCTTGGGTAACGCGAACGAAGCTAGCGGCGAGACGCGTCCTTGAAAACTGAAATTATGCCCTTTGGAAGAAATCTAGTTGGATTAAGTAGAGGGGATTTACTGTACACCGTTGTCCCCCTCCTTGTTCTTACAATTCTCCTTCTTTCCTTCATTTAAAACTCAACACATAAAAAGAATTTATATGTATGTATATGAATTTACTGGTCGACAGTCGGGTCGTCCATTCCATTCTCTCAATTCACTCACATTATAAAACGACCTTTATGTACACATATAATAGTATTTATTTTACTCTCTCGCTCTTGCTGTTTTAGACTACAAGAAGAAATGTGCTTGGAGGGGACAAGGACCGGAATCGTGTATTCTTAACTCCCTCTTCTTATCCTGGTTATATAGAGGCATAAGCAGTACCAGCAACCAGCACCAGCTCCAGTACCAGAAAGAGGAAGGAACAGCTAAAATCCCCCGTACCGTTTTATTTCTATAAGAGAAATCTCGAGTAGGGATAATGGCGGCAATCTACCTGAAGGATTTTTATGTCAGGAATTATATACATAGAGGGGCCCTGGTTCCGTGGGATGTCGGTTTTACCGAGGCTCCTGCCCGAGGGACGAGAACCACCTGTCGGGAAATCGTTGGAAATCTCACCCAAGCCACTCTCTTTCTCTTAACTTCTCTTGGTATACCCGCTGACACTACATTCTTTATTATTTTTTTTCCTCTCCTTTATTTTACTTTGCTTCTACACCATACACATGTAGTTTTATTTTTTCATTTCATTTTAAACTATATTAATTACTCTATTTATGGCTACGTGGTTTGAATTAATGTAGAATATTCTTTTATTTTTGTTATCTAACATAAAATAATCAAGTATCAATTGTACGCAGCGTACAGATGAATAATCGGTTATTACTACGAAAAAAGACGTGGCAACATCACGCGGTTATGTCGAAGCTAAAACTTACTACACAAGAGTACATTTCATACCAGTCATGGACAACAAACTACACAAACTTGGCGTGCAAAACTAATGGCGCTAAACAGTGCCGTATCAATTGTCAATTAAATAATTCATAACTTCATTATTTGCTTAATTTTTACACATGTCTAAAAAAACTGGTAAACAAGTTTTTTTAGTAATATAGATTTTTAAATAGAATTAAGCAGAGTATAGAAATAAAAATCAGTGTCGAAATAACGGAATAAAGCTAAAAATAAAATAAAAAAAAAAAATGTATATATATATATATTATAGAATAAAGAAAAAAAGGTTGGAGAGTTTTAAGAGGATTTTGTCTACATCCTACAACATTTATCCTGCGGGGGCTCCAGAAAAGAATTGGGTCCACAGGTAGACTTGTTACGTCATTACTACTATACACCAAAAGACCACAAAGAATGTAAGCTGACAGCGTTGCCAGAGCGCTCAAGTAAATCATCGGCGTTGTCCGGGGAAAAAGTAAAACCAAGAATACACGGGACACATAACAGCCTTTTCTGGATGATGCACGTGAAATTTATCACTCACCGTTAGCTATTTTGCGTTACTTACTTCAATTAAATACAATGACGTCTGCATATATTTTATATTATTATGATATTTTTTTCTCTTCCATTAGCTTTGTTTAAAAATTTTTTTGCAACGTCTACAGTTAAGAAAGTATTATTGCTGATGATTAAAACGCGTAACTAATCTTTTTATGAGTAAAATTAATAAAAAATTAAAAAATATTACGGTTCTTAGCGTATTCATTGATACATTTTTTTTTTTTTTTTTTTTTTTTTTTTTTTTTTTTTATGATAACATTCGTATTATCTCTAGACATAAAAGTACTTTTGTTTTTACTTACGATATCAATAATAGTAAGTAGATATTCAATATTAGAAAGAGTTCAATTGAAAAACAGCAGGAAACGTTAAGTTTCTTTTTTTTTAATAAGATTATTTGTGGGTTCACGTGGCAACGGCAGAGATTCGTCCGATCGCAACGTTGCCAAATTGCTATAGATTCAATTTAATGTATGAATGTATTTATAAATATACATATATAATATTACAACTGTTGCTTTAATATCAGTCAACTAAGTCATACCCAAAGAATCTTGTACACTCGCGAAAATTGACAATCCCCTTTGATGTATATAGTTACATTAATTTATTATGTCAACAGTTTTCATTGGTTACGATTGACTTAAATATTTTTCGAACAAAGGTCATTTGATACTTGACTCTAATGTTTTGTTAAGTTTAATAAACTATTAATATACTTTAATTGCCTTGATATTATGATTTATGTGACATTAGAAAGGAGAAAGGAAGTTTAAAGTAATAAAACTAAAATAAAAATTTATTAATCAACGATGAAATAAATTTTTTCATGAAAGACATTTTTCAGAAAACATTTCAGTTAAAAATTATCAAAAGAACCCTGTTATTTGAGTTGATTATTTCAATAAGATTATGAAGTAAATAGTCGCAATTTAACCATTGAAAACTTCTTAATAAGCTAAAAATAAATTATTAAATGTTTTACTTACAATTTTAGAAGGATTTTTTTTCCGGCCATACATCTCCAAAATGTCGTCATCCTCCTCCCTATTATTGAAATTTATTAAGGACTGTATTTTAAAAATTGCTATGTTTTTTAATTTCAAAATTAAAAGGATACGTTTTAATAGTTGATACATTCAGTATGCTTCGTTCTAATATTTCAGAACCTTTATTTTTTATACTTTTATCTAAATTTGATAATTCTTCTGCAGTCGACTCTGTACCCGAGTCAGAAGGTAAATCGGGTTTAGCACAACGTTTATCAATGTTTTTTTTAAACCATGATTCAAAGGCTTCAACTTTCTCTGTGGTAATGTCTGTTGAGGACTCGTTTTCATCTCCATTAACAAATTCTACCCAGCTTTCAACAATACCATCTTCATCAACCTCAAAATCTTTACAAATCTCAACAACTGTAATTTAATCAATTATCATTATTATTTTTAGTTTGTGGTTTTCCAATGATAAGCTAAGTAATTTTTTTCTTGATAAATTCAAGATTATATAGTAAAGTGAAATTTTTAAAATATCCCAAGAATAATTACGCCAAATACGTTAAATAATGAAATTTAATTTTTGATACATAACCTTAATTGTTCAGTATGAAAGTTTATTTTAATAGAAAAAAGAAATAAAATTTAAATTTTACTTCTACAGTAACCACTGGATTGTTGACTAGTCAATAATATATTAGAAATTATTTTTTATTTTTAAATATTAATTTAATTCAGCATTATTTAACGAGACTGACGCTGTATTATTTTAAAAGTAGTAATTCCAATAACTGATACTTACATTTAGTTAAAACTGACTCATCTACTAGTTTGCATTCAAATAGTCTAAAATTATCTTGTAATTTATCTTTAAACTCCATTATTATTTATTAACTTCAATATTGTAAAATGTTATTATAGGTTAAAATCAGTCAAAGCTGACTTCGCGCCAAATTACATGAGTTCTTACTTATAGCCGGTGGTGCAGCTGAAAGAGAAAAAAAAAAAGTAAAGCGCTCGTTGCGCTAGTGATTATTATTATAATTATAAAACTAACGCGGCAAATTCAAAATATTTTAACAGTAAATTTTTGAACTAATGTTTTCATAAAACAATTTTATTGATATAAATTCATTTTTTTTTTAATAAAAATGAAAAATTTCATAATGATTTAAATTTTTAGTGATTTTTATTTTAGAATAAAAAATTTATTCAATTGAGAAGTTGAGGTGCAAAATGAGTTTGATCTTTTTCCCACAATTCAACAAGTGTTTGTGTAACATTTGATGACGGAAAACGATCCATCCATGATTGGATTAAGCCGTCAAATGTTGGATCATAATTTTTCAGCTCAACGTCTTCGTCAGAACCTTAAAAAAATTTAATTATAATTATACATTGATTTATGAAAATTTTGTAAAAAAAAAAAAGAATATTTTTATAGCTTTACCTTTGACAAAAGTATTGGCTTGAACGAAAATTTTTCGGGGTTGTTTGTGAGCTAAAACAATACTTCTCCATCTTGCCCAAGGTTGAGTTCCGGTCTCAGGTACTTCAGAATAGTGATCATACATTAATTTAGCGGATTCAAAATCACCAAGACTTTTGTATACTTGAAGTTTTTTCAAAAATTCACCGACCGCTTTTTTACCAACGGTATGAAGTTTACTTCTATCGAGGGTCAATCTTAGATTTTTATCTTGTTCAGTCTCAACAATTTTAACAAAATCTTCACCAGCTTCTAAGCAAACTCGCAATAGGACGTAACGTGCTTGTGAATGAGCTTGTAACCATTTTTTTGTAGATGGCTGATACATTTCCAAAGCTTTGGCACAACCATTCCACAACAGTGATAACCAGTTGACATAAATAATGTCATCAGCGTTTGCATCATCATAACCAAATATCTTGAGTACCTCTTTTTCAAGACTTAAGAAAAGACCAACAGCTTCAGCACGGCATTCTTCGTAAGAAGATCCCATACCTCCGAATTTAGAGTCATAAGTTTCACCTTCTAAGAAATATTTATCAATCAATCCTTCAGTTAATGGATTTTTGACTGTTTTAATATCAAAATTATATTCTCCATTAGCTAATTGTCTAAATAATTTTCCACTACCATGACCTAGTAATTCGTGAAGTCCAACTTGTACTTCAAAACTAGCAGTACGATGTTTGTTCATAAGAACTTGGTCTTCGTCAGACAAAAATGGAAGAACATCTTGCTTCATGTTGGCTGGAATAACATTACCCAAAGAAACATTTTTGAATCCTTCACTCTGTCTTATTTCATCGTAGTTAGGAATATTTATTCCAGCTGGAATACCCGATCCAGAGAATGTTAAAACATCCAAAGACGTAAAATCTGGTCGCAAAAAGTGATCTTTCTCCAAGTCTTTACCCCATGGTAATTTCGGTAAAAATTCTTCAGCACGAGCAACAAGAGTTGAAAACTTTTGTGACATTTCTTTATTAACCATTGCGACAAAACCTTCAAACTCACCACGTTGTCCAGCAGGATCACGATAATTCTCAATAAATCCAATATAAGTTTCAATAACTGGTCCCTTATCTTTAATCCAGAAACGCGAACCATCCTTATGGTCATCTAACGATCCTGTCTTGAAGTGACTTATGTATTTATCCAACATATTTATTTCATTATCATTAGCGGCGTATTCTTTAGCTTTCTTCAAGTTGTTAATAACTCCATTGAATAATTTACTGTAGTCGCCCCGGCTCACAAAAAATTTAGAACCTCTGAATAATTCTACGGGCAAAGTTATTTTCGGGTCATCATTTTCGTCCAATGATGCCAATTTAATCTCATAAACATTGCGTTCTTTTTTCTGACCCGACTCGTCGGTATAATACTCAATTGTTTTGAAACATCTGCTATTGTATGCTTCAAAATTTTTACTCTGCATGAATTCTTTAACCAATTCAGCGTCTTCTTCGGTACAATTACCAGAAAAATATGTTGTTATTCCTTTCTCTCCCAAACCTAAAGATTTTACTTTGCCTTCAAGAGAGTACATACTGTCTTTTATTTTACTCCAAATGTCATCGAGTTCTTTAGAATTTTTTTTGTAAGCTTTTGATGCTTTTATTATCAATTCATACTTGTCTTTCGGTAAATTTGGAATTATTTTACTGTCTCCAAATGACTTGTAGTTACCAGCATTGGATAAAATCCCACAAGCATAAACAAGGAACGCCTGAAAATAAAAAATGTTGTTTTAATAAAATTTTGATTAATTTATTTATGACTTATTAATTATTTATTGTCGCATTTACTTACTGTGAATTCATCTTCAGTAACTCCAGAAGCCAAGCATGATTTTTTAAAATCTTCGATTGATTCAAAGCTAAATATTTTATGCAAAAGTACGAAAATCAATGGTGACTCCGGTGATGTTTGGATCAAGACAATTAAGCCTCCGTTCCAAGCAGCTTGACTTAAATAATGAGCATAAAGTTTTTCTTTTTTTGATAGTGCATTAAATGCTGTTTCGCACTGGAGTATTACGATAGGTTGACTGTTGGGTAGAGTATACAGTGACAAATCTTCACTCATGGTGCAATAATTTTTGTTTAACCTGGAGAAAAATTAAAACAATTAGTGGTATTCAAAAATTGTTTTATTATTAGCAAATAATTTTTTTGTTTAATAAAGTGTATTATTTTCTGTTCATATAATTAAATTAAATTATATAATTTTAAAATTTAAACGATAGAGATTTTGATCACTGCATCAATAGTATTTATTTCAATCAAACTTAAGCAGAATTTTATGTAAATTAAAACATTCAAATTTACTAAGAAGCTTTGATATTACTTTTTAGTAATATTTATTAATTATTGATAATTTTTAATGTAAAGATTAAAAATAAGTAATCATTAAAAATGATAACGTTTTTTATTAAGTATACTTGACTTTATAAAAAAAAAAAACAAAAAAAAGTTGGAGTTGAAGTCATTAAGCGAATGGGAAAAGATTTTCAAGCACTATTTTTAAAAAAATACTCTAGGTAAACAAAGTTATTAATTTTTACTATTATGATTATACACTTTTGGGTTATATCTATTTATAAAAAATAATATGAAAATTAAATTAGCCGACATCTGAAAAATTTTATAATTAATTTTATTAAAAAAATTGTTACTATAAAATTAAAAGAAAAAATTTCACATGTAGAAAATTAAAAAAATTATACTTGCAATTTAATTTAAAAACTTTTAATAAAGTAATTCATAAATAATATTTAAAATTTTATTACCTATTAATTATTAATTTACTTGGTTTAATTAATTGTTTGTATGAATGATTAGATTTTATTATTGTTGACAATGATGAATACTGTTTGTGACTATTTTTAAAATAAATAAACCAATTACGGTTAAATCTTCTTATCATTGCATTTATTTTCTTTGTTTATAATTAGCAAAATTATTGAAATAATTATATTTTTTTTTAACACTTAAAAATACACCGCAAAGGGAGATTGATTTAGAAAGATTAAAATAATAATCCGGCAAATTATCTATTTAAATGTTTTAGGTTATACTTATATCATTTTGAAAGCAAATATTATTATATATCATATCACGTATACGTAATGTACTTACAGATACAAAAAAAAACTATGAAATTACTATTCCTTTCTGTACTATTTATGAAAGCTTTGACTACTGAATGACTTGTCTTTTTGTTTGTTTTTCGTTTATAAGAATATTTTTTGATGACGTGTATAATATATATTGTAGTAATGTTGAAAGCAGTTTACTCTTTAGGTTAACTTTATTACATTTAATATATATATTATTATTATTATTCCCGATAAAATGTAATTGATTTATTTCAGGCATCAATAACTTTAATCTTTTATTTTTTATTTAAATATTAAATGGTAGTGAAATATAAGTAAAAAAAAAAATGGATAAATAATTAATACGTAACTTATAAATTAAAAATTAATTTTAAGTAAGTAGGATGGAAAAATATTTTCAAAAAATTCTTTATTAAAAAATAACTGGTTAATTAATATCATCAACAGTTAATTATAAATACTAAATTAAATTTCAAGTTTTAAAAGAATAATAAACCTGAGGTTAAGATATCGGCAATTTGCATCAAATCAATAACATATTTTTTAATTAATATTTAAAAGATACATAAATTATTTTAACTTACCTTATAATTTATAATATTATATTATTTTATCTAACATAAGAAAATTAAAACTATTTTTATTACGTAATTTATAATAATTAGATTATTTCAAATTTTAAATAAAAATACTAAAATTGTTTCAATGAAAAGTTAGTTTTAATAAATATTACAATTATAATTCATTTTTATAACAATTGTTTTATAAAAATATTATATTTAATTTATTTGTCATATTATTTTGATAGAAAATTATTTGTTCATTTTAATAACTGGAATAATAGAAACTTTACATGAAAAAATAAGTATCTAATTGAAAAAAATATTTTTGAGTCATGTGTGTTTTATTATTCATTATTTTAAGTAACATCATTCAAGTCTAGTTGAACAAAGTGAATAAAAAAAATTAATGAGAAAATTTTAAGTATTAATAACGTAAGTGAAAAAAAAAAGTAATAATACTATTATTCTTTAACATCTCCAATTCCATCTGCATTAATGGCAAACATGGCTTCTGCCTCCGGAAGGCAAGGTGAATCATAAATTTTACAAATTCTTGTTTCTCCACGACCTTTTCTCAGATAGAGCCGAGTTGTACTTGCGTGAGCGATAATATTACCTCCGATGGGCTTCTTCTGATCACCACCAAACATACTAGCTGCTCCATCGACTTGAGCTACGACTTGGTTAGTAATGACAACAGCAACACCATGTACATCAGCAATTCTTAAGAGCATTCTAAGAAACCGGGCCAAGTGCATTTGTCGAGCAGACAATTCACCACGACCTGAGTAATCTGTACGGTATAAAGCTGTAGCACTGTCAACAATAAGCAAAGCGTATCTTGACTCAGTCATCATAGCACTAGCCATCACCAATAGTTGAGTCTGATGATCGGTATTGTAAGCTCTAGCACAAGCTACGTTGTCGAGGACATTTTCTGGTGCTATTTTGAATTTTTCAGCAACTGCTATCAGACGAGATGTTCTGAAGGTTCCCTCGGTATCAATATACAGACACTTGCCTTCTGCACCACCCATATCTACGGGTAATTGACAATTGACTGCTAATGTGTGAGCCAGTTGAGTTTTACCAGTACGGAATTCTCCAAATATTTCAGTTATGGAGCCAGTTTCAATGCCTCCTCCAAGTAATCTATCAAGCTCGGTTGATCCAGTCGAGATGTAAAGAATGTTTGATCGGATTTGATGAATTTCAGTGGCACTTTTGAATCCCATAACCATTAATTTGGATGCTTCTTGAAGGATTTTATCAGCTTTGGCCTCGCTGATACCTTTTATGGTTAATAAGTTCTTCTTGGGCGTGAATGCAATTTCTTCAACTGTATAATAGCCAGCTTCTTTCAGCTTAGCAATGTCACCAGCAGTAATTCCATTGCCCTAAATTAAAAAAATTATATTGTCAGTTACTGTTTACTCATGACATAATATCAGCAAACAGCTGATGATTTTTTTGAATAAATAAATTAATATTTAGAAAATATCACTTTCAAAAAATGCTTTTTTTTTTTTTTTTTTTTCAATGTATCCATGCGGAATTTTCTAGAATATTTTCTCAGCATTCATTTATTCGTTAAGAAATATCAAAAAAATTATCAGTTTGAACTAATGTATAAATAGTCGAATAAAATAAAGTAAAATAAAAAATAAAAACAAACAGTACCTCCAAACATGAAATCAATTTAGCTTGAGCATTCTCATCATCAACCTCCTCCTCTTCTTGAACAGGTAATGCTTTAGATTTAGAAGCAGTGGCAGTCATTTTGTAATACTTTTTATTAAATAATATAAATTACAATTTTATTTAAATTAAACAAAATTTGTTCACTTCACTTTAGAGAACTACTGTCTTTACTTATGTTGTCAAGACGTCTATTGTATATGCGTATAATTTTTACAGGTCTATTCCTGTTAGCACTTATTGTTGTTGTGCTTCTGCTGGACGCGAGGATATATAACCGTTTATTTTCAAAATCTCTCTTGTTTATTGGTTGTCAGAGGCGTCAAAAGCGCTGCCTAGTTGATAATATTTGAACTATTTTTTTCTGGTGGGCGCGTTTATTTACATCATGGCGGATAAGATTCTCCATGGCTTCTATTATTCAACAGACTATCAGAATTTTCTTTATTACCGACATTTTGAAATACATTTTTTATAATAGCTTTTAAGAATTATTTACTATTCTAATTACAATTATGTTGCAGTAAAATAATACAAATGAATTTCATCAGGTAACAAAAATTGAGATTATTCTATAATGCATAAAAAGGGTAGTAGTGAATGATACAAAAATTAGTAGACATCTGACAATTTTATAAACTTTTATAATACATCAATTATTATAAAAAAAATTTGCACTTATATTTTTTTTAAATCTCTACAAATGAAATTTCTTAGCTAAATTTTTGTCTTTATGATTTAATTGTCACAAAAATCTAAAAAATTATTAGCAGTATGGTAATTTTAGTATCAAAATAGTGAAGTTATTCGTAAGTTCAATTTTTCAGCAGATTTTTAATTCCTTGAAGTTTTTCATTTGTTAAAGGTTTTTTTTTTTATGATAATTTTGTGTAGGTCTAGAGATAATATCAATGAAGAAAAAAAAATTTTTAAACAAATTCTATGAAACTTTTAATTAAAAAATAAAGAACTGTTCGAGCAAAGAATTATAAAAATAAAATGTACGTAAAATCGTCGCTGATTATTGAAATTACTTTTGAATGCATCAAGTTATCAAGATTTTTTAGAATGCATTTTCTAGACCAAAAATTTCTAGTATTTTAACAGTATTTATTTCCAGATAGATATGTATTGTTTAATTTGATTTTCTTAGAATTTTACTATCGATTACTATTGAATACGATTCTGTAATTTTTTGATTATTTTAAAAAACTTACTTTTATTTCAGTTACTAAATGATTTTTTTTTTTTATTTTGTAATTCTCTTTACTATAACGACAAATATTATAACTTATAATATAATTATAACTTACAAATTTAATCTATACTGAAATAAGAACGATGTAAGAAGCTACTATAAGTGTGAATAATTTTACCAAAAATAAATATCATTGAAATATTCTTAAAAAAGATGAATGGATTGAACTCCCTCAGATTAATCTCATGGCAATCTTCATGAACCTGTTTATAAACATAAAAAAATGATAAGTATTAAATTTTCAAAATTATTCAAAGAAACAAAAATCAATTTCAAAGATAACTTACGTCAGATGTTCTTGTGATACAAGATTAAAAACTTTATCATTTTTCAAAGAATTGATTTATTTTGTGACATTTTCCACAAATCAGCGTTACTTAAATAAAAATACAGCTCATGGATAAAAATGGCGGGTAGTTCTTTATAAAAAATTTCATAGAGAACATTTTCAACTTTATTAAATAACTCCAATCGTTGGCTTGCTTTCTTCAAGCGATAAGTTATCATGTCTTCATACTCGAAAAAGTTACCATTCAAGCCGTCTTCTAAATCAAAATTTTTATTTTTTAATCTTAAAGTCAAAGTGTGCAAACATTTATGCAACAAATTGTAATAAGAAAACCCAGTTATTGGATCCTTTGATTTTTTTAAATTGGTAACTTCTTGATCACATATAGCACGGAATTTGTCAAATTCCGGGCCAACAAGAGCCTGTGCATTTCTGGGACAGACTTTCATATTTGCGGCCATCCTCACTACAGTATGCATTTTAACAGTCCTGATACAATCTTTTCTTTTTTTCACAACTTTAATATCAATTGCTAACTTTTGATCATCATCAACTAGATTGATGTCAACACCGGAATCAAGAATTTGCATTAGAATGTCGTTATAATCTGTCCGATCTAAGCAGTTTTTTTGACTTGCCATCAAAAACAAATGAAGACAAGATCGTTTATGATTATCCACAGCATTAACATCAATTGTTGGCAAATCTAGCAGAAACTCAAGTACAAAAGCGGATTTTAGGTTGAAGGCTGCTTGAAGTAAAGGTGTCTTTTGATACCCGTCTGCATCGACCATATTAACATCAGCGCCGTATTCAACAAGCAGTTTCATTATTTCAATATTATTCAATTGGCCTTCTAAATCATTCCAGTCTAATTTGACACAAAGATTGAATGGCGGAGAAATATCCTTCGAACCTCTATAGTTAGCATCAGCGCATCTACTGAGAAGAAATTTAGTGATATAATATGAACCCATTTTGATGGCGAATTGAAGCGGCGAATAATCGTCATAGCGATACACGCGGTAACTAGTATTACCAGAATCATCTCTTACGAAGACTTCATCCAGTTCTAGGCCTCTTAAACAAAAGCTTTTATTGACAGGAGTTCCAGCATCTACTAATTTTTGTACATAATCCAAATTATGCATCCTTATTGCTAAGTAAATAACTGGTCCCACATGTTCAGTGGCTATTAATACGTCGGCATTATTTTCCAACAAAAAATCGACAAACTTTTCATCCTCTAAGCAGATTGCTAGGTGAAGAATTGTTAAGTCGTATATTTGAGTAATCCCAACCCTTTTGAAGTAACGAAGATGATACATCTGGTCTAATTTTATCTGTGTGTTGACAGACAGTGATCCCTCTATTATTTCACGTTGTAACTCGTTATAGTCCATGCCACGGTAAATTTTTTCTTCTTTTATATCAATTTTTAACATTAATCGTGCCATCTCTTCTTCATTTTCACTATCTACTTCACTCATTTCACTCATTTCACTCATTCTTAATTTTGAAAACACTTTTTTATTAATAGTTGATTCAATGAACTTTTCTCTGGTTATAGTGATGATACACCTGAGAACTCGAAACTTTTTAGAAGCCTTTTTTTTTTTTTATATTTTTTTTTTCTATATATTTAACAATCTTGGTTAAGTCAGTCTAATATCCAAGATTTACAAATAAGGTTTATATGTAAATAGTATTAAACGCACATATATAAAACAATTGTTATTAGCATAATTAGATAATTATTTTAACAAATTTTTATAAAGCAACAATAATTATATTGTTGTGACTATTCGAACGGGTACTGGTACTGGACGAATGATTTATATTTCTTTGTCCGTTTGTGTCGAATGTCCGCTGACTTCATTTGTTCATGTTCAAACCTTTTTTTGTTGATTGTCTCGAGTCACAAAAAGCGCCAAATATAAAGTTTAGTTACTTTTTTCCTGGCGGGCGCTTCTGCTTATACTGACATGCACTATCGAAAATTTCCTTATTACCGATGTTTTGAAACACGTGTTTTTTTTTTTATTATCACAATTTGCAAGAATTATTCACAAATTATTATTTACTTTTAAACTTACAATTATTTTGTAGTAAAATAATACTCTTGAAAGTTAAATTTTCATAATAATTGGTTCTGTTAAATATTTAATATTTAATTGTTGATAAAAAACAAATTCTTTCGAGGTTAACTGCAATAATAGTCCATGTGGTAATTATTTACTTTTTATTTTTAATAATAATATATATTATTCAAATATTAGTCAATTTTTTTGTTTTATTTTTTTCAACAGAAAATTAATTTTAAAATTAATTTTACTTGTTTTTATTTTTCAGAGAAAAATAATTCAATAACTGGATTGTATAGATAAACAAAAAATGTAATGGACAAAATAAAATAATTGACAGTGTTTGGATAATTTCATGGCTACAAGATTAATAAAATATTTAAGCCGAATTTTGAATTTTAACAATACGTTGAAAATAATGAATGAAAATACAAAGATGGATAATTTACTGGCTCCACCAGATTCTGTACTTGGCATGAAAAATTTAAATCGAGAATTATTTAATAAAACTATTGAAATACCATGTTTAATATTGGATGTATCAACGAATTATTACAATACTGTGATGGGTGTAGTTAAAAAGTATTTTTTAAAATTAAAAAAATTCAAATCATTCACTCAAGACAATGAAAATTTAACAATATATTTAGATCCACGGAAAGTAAAAAAATTGGATGACATCGAAGAGTCAGATCGTAATAAATTAAATACAATTAGTAAATTAAAATTTGATAAAACACAAATAAAATTAAATTATCACAATTGGCACGCCGATCAATTATTCCGTGTTATATTACCAAATGATATTGAAATACCTACATCGTATACGAAAGTTGGTCATATACTTCATTTAAATTTACGTGATAATCAGTTACCGTATAAACAAATAATTGGAGAAATTTATTTAGATACAATTCCACAAACTAAAACAGTAGTCAATAAAATAAGTAATATTGAAACAGAGTTTCGTAATTTTAACATGGAAATACTTGCTGGTGATAAAAACACAGAGACAACTGTTAAAGAAAATAATTGTCAATTTACATTTGATTTTGCAAAAGTTTATTGGAATTCAAGATTATCTACAGAGCATACTAATTTGTTGAAATTTATGAATAAAAATGACGTTCTTTATGATGTATTTGCTGGAGTTGGTCCATTTTCGATACCCGCTGCGCGTAAAGGTGTTCAAGTATTGGCGAATGATTTAAATCCAGAGTCTTTTAGGTGGTTACAGTACAATGCAACTGCTAATAAGGCTAAAAAAATAATTTCATTCAATAGAGATGGTCGTGATTTTTTGCGTAATGAAGTTAAAAAACATTTACTTGAAAGACGTTCCCGCAATCAAGATGGTAGTGAACATATTGCTATGAATTTACCAGCAATAGCTATTGAATTTTGTGACGTCTTTCGCGATTGGATGGACGATAATGAAATCAAGTTAATGTCTAATAAATATCCTCTTATTCATTTGTATTGTTTTGTTAGAGTCAGTAAAATTGATGATCCAAAACCTGTGGCACAGGCGTTAGTTGAAGAAACATTGGGAACCAAACTTACGCCTGAGTCATTGAAAATCATTCACCATGTGAGAAATGTTGCGCCTAATAAAGAAATGATGAGAGTATCATTCTATTTGACTAAAGAAATGATAAAATCTGAGGAGCCAGTAAGAAAAAAAATAAAACTTTATCAGGATGATAATTGTATTGAAAAAATTGCAGATAGTGATGGGGAAAAACAAAAAAATATCGAAAACAAAAAATGTCTTCAAGGTTAACACTAAACGGACTTCGAAAGCAAAAAATCAATTAAATAAAAATATTGGAAATAAAGTGAGTTAATTTATATTTATTTAGATAATCAACAATTCATTAAATAGTTTTCTAACACATATATGTTTTTTTTTTGCAGAATCAACGAAAAACGCTGAAGAAAAATATTGATAAAATTCAGGAAATTGATAAGCAATTGATAGATGTACGTACTCGTATCAATTCTCAATCCAAACCAAAAGAAAAAACTTTGGCAGCTCCAAAAAAATCAGTGTCAAAACCTCAAGTCCAAACATCTTCAGCTATTGATACATTAGAACAGTTGAAGTTATGATTAATGTATAATTATTTGAATAATGAATTGAAACTGTAAATATAATTTTCAATTGCCAGGATATATTTTATTTTTTATTCCAGTTGCCAAATATTGTACAATATAACAATAATAATCAACTGCTTTATTATAAAGCTGCAGTTAAAATGTAAATAAAACTGCAATATATTTGTCAATTAACTTAATAAATAGGATATAGTTATAATTATTAATATAAATAGTATATATTCAACTTGCAGCCGGTGCATTTACGGCCTCTGTGTTGGTGCTAGTTGTATCTGGTGTTGATTCTCTTATTTCCAGCCACGGTAAGCGTTTTTGCAGTTCCATTCTGTATCTTGGATGACTTATTGCGTATACATAAGGATCTAAACAGGCGACAAACTTGCATGCACATGCTGGAATCATCGTTACACCTGGTGTCAGTAGCGATTTATTTCCAAACGCTCCAATTAATGACATTACTCCATAAGGTGTCCATGACGCAACGAACAGGAAGCAAATGGTTATCGCAGCCTGAAAATGGTAATTTTTTTAGTTTAAATTAAATATCATTTAATCGCATAAAAAATGAATTATTGTAGTTACTTTGGCGATACGAATTTCAGCAGATTCAGCATTTGCATTAGCATTGCTACGAAGACTTTCTACATTCATCTTTTTGGCTTGCTCACGCAATGTCTTTTCGTGGTTCACCACATGGCTCACTATTTGACAGTAGTGATAAATTATCAAAGACATTGGTATCGCATAAGAAAATGTAAATATAGTTGCAACAAAGTAACGAGTTTCACTGGTGTCTGTTAAGTAGTCAAATGTACAACTGGTTAAGAAACCTTCCGGCACAAATCTTCCCCACACTCCCATCAGCGGCATCAAACCCCAAGGTATTACATACATCCAAATCAGTACGATAAATAGCATCGCTTGGCCTCTCGATAATTTTCCATCCAATGGTCTTGCAATGGTTCTAATTTAAAATTTTAATTCGATTTTATTGTTAATGAACTTGAAATAGTTTAATTATATTTTAGTTTGAGTTAAATTTATGGGTACGGTTATTTTAATTCTTGGGAATTTTTTAAATCATAGAGAAATATTCATGAATACCTATTTTCAAATATTTTATAACATACTAATAAAACTAAAATTCGTTTGAAAATTATTGAAATTTTTCGAACATTTCATAACATTTTTGATTCTTTAGATTCACTCCAGAATTGCAAAAAATACTTTTTTTATTTTACTGTAATCAACGAATTTGAAAGAATAAATAATTTTTAATTTTAACTACAAATTTTGTAAAACATTATTGATTTTAAAAATTAAATAAGTGCATTGTTAAAAGAAATCAAATTTTTTTGAATTTATTAATATAACGTATATTAAAAGAAATTAATAATTTAAATAATTAATAACGAAAAAATGGATAATTGAAATAATGAAATAAAAAATTCAAAAAATTATACTCAAATTAATTAACGCATTATTTGTAAATTTTAAACGAGAGTAAATTTGTTCTACGGCATCGAAAAAATACGTATCTACTTCAACTACATTAAAAAATGTTTCACCGTATTTGAGTTATAAAAAGTTTAGATTTATCTTAAATACTGAGTTTTGTCCTTCATCCCCAGACTTAATTGATCATCTTTTTCAAAATCACTGTAGGTTTTCATTAATCAATTTTTTAAATTGAATCGTTATTTGCACTACAAAAACTGTCGCGAGCTTAATTTCGATCAGTTGATTTGTTCGAGAGATATCCTTGTCCAAATATTTTCAAATAAAATTTATAGTAATTGCTGGTTTATGATGCTTACAAAAAAGCAAACTATCAAAGAAATTTTATTTATAGAAAAGAAATTCTATGCATTCTTTGAAAAATTAGTATCTTAAATAGTTTTAATGATGGAGTTCATTTTAAATAATAAGTATAATATTTTTCAATAAAATAATTAACAACCTTGGTAACATTATTTTAGAAAATTATGAAAAAAAATGTATAGACCGAGAAATGGTAGATCAAATACCAATGGAATAGATATTAAAATTTGTTGCAATGAAATAGAGTAACTTTCGAAAGCAAATGGATAAAGATCAAGTCGGTGCATTAGTTGATTGTAATTACCGATATCTGTCGTATGCTATTGCCGCATTAGTCATAGAAGCACCAATTCCACTAAGAGCTCCGATGAATGCAAATATTTGGCAAGCAAGATGCCCGAGTGCGAATCCAGTTTGAAAGGAATTGTAGATAAATATCGGCGTCTTTAACATCATCATAAAATCACAGAGAGCCAAATTTACTACAAACATATTTGAAGGCGTCCTCAGTGGTTTAGCTCTATTAAAAAAAAAAAAAATAAACAAACAAAAATTATTTTATGTAAAACTTTTTCTTGTCACGATATTAATTTTGTTCACTTTTTACTGTTCACAATAAATAACTTTATAATTTAAATCTGTCAGATGGAAAATGAAAAAATGATGGTGAAAAATGAGTAGCAATTGATGTAGAAAAAAAAAAAAAAAAAAAAAAAAAGAGATACTTACGCACAAAATATCCATAAGACAAGTCCATTACCCAAAAGTGCGATAAAAGTAAATAAAATATATAATAATGCTAGTAAATAATGAAGGGAGGGGTTTGGCTCAGGATAGACCAGCCAGTGCTCTGGTATGTGAACTAGTTCTTCAGCTGGTACATTCCACCCCAGCAAACGTGGTGGTCCTGCAGGAAGGATTCTTGCTTCCCAGTGAATACTGTCGTTCGACATATTGTTGGTCTCACCGTGTGCCTAGCCCCTCACCTTATCTACTGGCAAGCCACCCTCGAGCTTTTATACCTTTTATCTCACCACAAATCCGTTGCCCGTGGCTGCTTAACGATTTTTCCACGGTTTTAGATACCTTAATTCACTTATTCCGAGGCTTCGTGCAGTTAAGCTATGTGTAATCCGTTATTACCCTCGAGCGTCAGTGAATAACTTCAAAGTCAAATTTATTGTTAGCAACACGATAACCTTGGCTTTAGTTATTAGTTTTTCTTGTTTTGGTTGATTCTATAGTATTTTATTTTATTCATTTATTTATTATTGACATACACAGTTATGGCTGTTATTTATTATTATTCTCAAATACTTGATGAAAATATTCTTTTTGCATCAATAAGATTTTGGTTATAAAAGAAAAAGAAGTTCCAGGGGAAAGGTGCAGTAACGCCTTTTTATTTTCTTTTTTAATACAAAATAGTGTTTTCAATTGTGAATTACAATTTATTTATTATTTTTCACGACTTTTGGTACATTTCTTTAAATATTTATTCACAGGTAGAAATATCCAAGAGCGGGCGAATTTCATACTGTGCTTAGATTCACGCTGAAGAAGAAAATTGCTTGATTTAATAAAAATATTTTCTTCAAAGTTTAACTTTTGTTACAAAATTACTTCCAAAAATATTAATTTAAATTAATAAATTAAAAATTTTAGCTAAAGAAGAAAAAATTTTTCATTAAATAATTTAATTTTCCGACGAAACATTTTATTATTCTCTAACAGTATATACGCACATAATTTTCATGATAATATTTTTTTTTTAAACAAGATCGAAATTCTTTCTGTTACTTTCTGTGTCATCAAGAAAAAGTCTAAAATACTTTTCGGATTTTGTTGAAGCAACCATTTCTTTCCTAAAATAAGTAAAGGATTTTAATTTTTTATGAACTTTAACTGAAAAAAAAAAAAAAAAAAAAAAAAATAAAGAAGAAGTTATTTTTAGTTGAAGACAATTGGTCGTGGTTGAACATTTTGGTCATATAAATAACATATAATATACTTTCGAATCAAGTCAAGTATTTTTTACGGTTCAATATAATTTCTCTTAAACTAAATTAATTTGTCTATTAATGTATTTAAAAAATTAGTTCTCGATTTACTTTCATAACGTAATTATGAAAATTATTTATTGCTTATCAATATCATCATTTTAAACCTAATTATTAATTATATTTCATCTTACTTTAAAATTGAATGATGTGACAAGTAAATCTAAAATTGTAAAAGTAAATGTAATGTGCATTTTTTTTAACTTCACAAGTTTTTCATAATCATATGTATCGAATTAAAAATTAGTTTTCACAATAAAGTAATAAAATATAATTCCTAACTAATTATAAAATTATAATATTAATAATTCATCGGCCCATATTTGAATTAATATCACAATAGTAATAAGTGCACCGGAATACTTAAAATATGATGGACTTGCTGCGCCAACAAAAAGACGCTCATCTACGTCACCTGATTCAGGAATGCTACGTGTTTTCTTCATCATCCATTTGAATCCAACCATTCTCAAATGTTTTTTTAATTCCGGTCCTACCTCATTTCTAATGCGGCTGTTGTAATTATTTAACCAACGTCTCTGTAAATATTATAGTATATATTATAAAATAGAAATAACAATATATATACGTCAATAATCTGTATAGTTTTGTTTAAGAATACTTACATGTGCAGAACTCAACATACTAGTATCTATCAGTTTTGGCTCGTAGGGTATCAAGGTCACATCGCGGAATTTCAAAAACCTTTGTTTTTCTTGTTGCTTTAACAAACAAAAATAATAATTAGGATAAATAATATAAATTTTATCATAAAAATATACTTTTCAGTTTATTTTAGTTTTTTGTTACATTTTAACAAAATATTTTATGATTTTTTAGTAACTATGCTTTATCGCCAGTTTTTAAAACTTTGAAGCATTCAGTTATCTTTACTTCTCGAAAAGGCCAAAATTAAAAAAAAAAAACATTTATAAAATCGTTTGTTTATGTATTCTAGTGTAGAAATCTTTTCATCAGTGTAAAATCGCTCGAAAATTCAGTAATCTTTCTCTTTACGGTGTTCGAAAATGGAAAGCAATTTAATTTTTTTCTATTAATTATTGATTCGGTGTAAAAATTTTTCAATGAATGTAACAATATTTTATTGATAAGCATTTTTTTTTTATTTAAGAATGTTATGTGAAAAATTTGGCAGTAGTTCACGACATTTTTTGGCTAGAGGATATTAAAACGAAAAAGTTTTATTATGTTATTTTATGCTTATATCTCGGACTTGTTAACTGGAAATTTTATTTTGAAAGAGAAATATTATGCAGAAAAAAAAATTGTTTTTAGTAAAAAGATTTTTTCTTGACTTAAAAAAAAATATATGTATATATAAAATATTCCTATAATAAAAAAATTATCTTGAGAGTGAAATTTTCTATAGTGAACTTAAAAATAAATTTTACTTTAGTCAAGGTTGGTTTGGTCTTCTTCAATAATTTGTACATTGTAAATTGTACTACGCATCTCTGTTTTAAGAAAATACTATACCGGTAAACAAAAAATCGCAAAGATTTCAGCTTACATTTCATACTTATAAGAATATATTATTGGCATAAACATATTTATGATATTTTTAGCAAAATTAAGTATATTGAAGATAATTTTTTCCACAAGAGTGATTCATTGTAGGGTAATTTACGAAAAATAAAATGAATTGACGTACTGGTGTATCTGCTTCTACAACTTCTAGTACATTTTCCAAACGTATTCCAAAATCACCGGCTTTATAATAACCTGGTTCATTAGATAAAAAATTGCCTGGGCTTAAATAACACGTACAACCAGCTGTTGGTGTAGCATTCATATTATACGATACGCTAATTGGAGCTGCAAAAAAATCATTAATTACAAATTATCGTGTATTAATAATGAAAATATTTTAAATAATTAAAGCGTATGATGAACGTACGTTCATGAACAGATAGAAAATGACCGATACCATGTCCAGTTCCATGCATATAATCATTACCCATGCCCCACAGAGGACGTCTGGCCAGAACATCTAGTTGATCTGTTCTTAAACTACTTGGAAAAATTAATGACGCTAATTCAATAGAGCCTATTAAAACACGTGTATAAGCTTCTTTCTGTTCTTGTGTTGGCTCACCAAAATGTATTGTTCTTGTAACATCAGTAGTGCCATCCAAATACTGTCCACCTGAGTCTATTACTAACGTTGAATTTAATTCAATCATCAAACTGGTACTATCGATCGGCTCATAGTGAGGTAACGCGGCATGCGGCCCATATCCCACTATTGTTGGAAAAGAAATACCCTGATTGTAATCCATTTCAAGTCGAAATTCATTAACGACCCTTGCCACTTGCATTTCATCCCATTTTGTCGTTTTATAATTCAACTGGTCTTCCATGTAAGCCATAAAATCACACATTGCCACTGCATCACGTAAATGTGCTTTTCTCATCCCTAATATCTCAATTTCATTTTTTACTGCTCGTAATTCAATTATTGGTGATGGATGAGGAAATCGTTTTTCAACTGGAATCTGATAAGAATAATTAAAAAAATCTTAAGGATTAAAATTATTTATGAAGAAGTGATAAACAATATTATAATTTATATATAATTTAAGTTCACTATAGTTTGCAGCTATTAGAAGCGACAGAGAAAGAAATTTATGAAAAAATCCGAAAATTAAACTTATCCCCCACGACGTTTTTAACGCAGAGTGTATGTTATGTATTCAAGTTAGGTATTTAAGTCGATAATCATGAGCAATGACGGGATTTAAAAGTTTTTAACAGACTCGAACTTGATTTAAGATACTCTATAAATTTTTGAAGTATTATAGAAAAATTTGGAAAATCTTTGAATGTATTTTAAACATTCCGAAAAATCGAAGTTACTGTTTGGATCTACATGGAAAATCAAAATTGTAGGAAAAAATTACAATTATCACATCTTAATCCATCAGGACTAAGCTTTCAATATCTTCACTTTCATAATTTTACATTTTAAAGTTTGCGATGTTATTCGTAAAAATGTGTATAAAATTAGTCAACATACAGATTTTTACAATGTAACATCGTAAATTTTAAAATTATTAAAGTGAGGATATTGAAAGCTGGATTACGATGTGACAATTGTAATTTTTTTTCTACAATTTTTGTTTTCCCTGTATATTCATATTTGGAATTATTCAGATTATACACGGAAAAAAGTAAACTGTAATAAATAACAGTCGATTTATAATAAGTAATGATCAACTGCTAAAAATTACCATTTCAAACAGTAAAATCGTGATTTTACTATTCACATTGTAATATTTACAATTTAAACGTTACAATTTACTCTTTACATGGAAGAAAATACTATTTCAAACAGTAATATTCGCTATGTAAATGTCTAAAATCTTTAAGTATAATCATTAAGAATTCAGACTTTGATATTTATCATTTCATACCTAAAAAATGATCTTATGATAGGTAAAAAGTATAAAATAGAGTTAGTAAATTTCTAATACAAGCAAACGTCAATATTTAAAAAGTAAAATGGTAAATTTTAAACGAAACGCTAAAAATCAAACTGTAATTAATGACTTGCTTGGACTGGTAAAATGTATATTTTAAAACTATAATTTTTACTGTTTGAAATGTTAAATTCTCCCAGAGTGAGACCCCCATTCTCTTTCATCTGAGTTCCCCTTCTCCTCATAATATCGACTATATATATTGAAATGCTTTTTACATTAAGTTCTGTAATATTTATATTTTTGCCACCCTGATGTCCGCTTTACTGTTTAAAACTATAAAAACTAACCGGAATCCGAGTGAATATTACAGTTTACTTTTTTCCGTGTATCAGATCTGTTTACTTTTTTTTTTATATTTATCGTAGGATTTAGCTTATAAATCTTATCCTCGAATTAAACAAACAAAAGCAGCCGATTGAACCTGAAAATAAATTTTTATTATTAAATTATCTCAGTTTTTTTAGATTTCTTAGTACCCATCAAAAAATCCTTGAACGGGTCAACAAAAAAAATCTCAACATTTGTCAGGAACCATCTTCAATGACTACTGAAAAATGTATAAAAATTGAGAAAATCAATATTGAAAATTCTTCAAGCTATATCCAATTTTGTATAGAATGTTCCATATATAGTTAAAAATTAGACAAAAATGTTCTGAAATAGCTCACTCGATTGACTTAAAATTAAAATAAATTAAATTAAATTAAACCATCAGCAGATCTTTACGAATATCTTAACTAGTATCTTAACCATTTGATTTGTTTTAAAGATATCGTACAATAAAAAAATTATACACACATATATTCAGACATTCTTTAAAAAATAGCATAGCTTAAGTGGACCTCAGTTGTGGATAATGAAAAATAGATTATTGAAATTCAGCGTGAAAACAATATTTTTTTTTTTATTTAAACAAATGTACAACCTTCATAGTCAGAAGTTGAAAATATTTTTATATACGTTCCACATATATCTACACTATGCTTCTAGTGTACTACATTACAATAATGATTAAGTACATGATCATTTTTTCATAGAAATATCATTCGTTTTAGTTATAGCACTTCCAACTTTACCCTTAATCCAAGAATAATAATTTCCAACATTAGTAAAGAGAGATGCTGCTTGAGGCAGTAAGTTACAGTTCATCTTCCATGATTTAATTCCTACTAATTGTCCATTTAAAACCACCGGGTTGCCAGTATCACCAATAGAACAAGGATTTCCTGTAGGACCTTCCATATCAATTGCACAAAATCGACTCCTATCAATACCACTCATAGAATAATAATATTGTATACACTGTTGGCTACTAAGTGTTGCCCAATTGCTAACTTCAACATTGGTAAAAATTTTACCATCCACCAAATCTTGGTTCCAATTAGAAATATTGAGTTTTCTATCGGGTAACACAGTAAACGAACTATTCAAGTTTATTATTTTTGGTGCATGGGGCCCATCTAAATTGAAATAATCCGATATTCTAAGTAACCCAATGTCATTTAATGGTAAGTTGCAATTAATTGTTGAGTATGATTCGTGAATGATGGATGTCATAATAGAGTGAATACTGCCACTTATGGTGAAATTTGCGCTTGCAGTTTGGATTGTTATTAATCGGTTGGTTCCTGTACAACTGGCAATACACTGAGCTGAGGTGACCACCCAATCCCTGCCGATAATTGCTCCACTGCAGAAATGAACGCCGTTGATTCTGATACTGACATGCCATGGTGCTGGCTGATTAATCGAGGATGAGTTTTCATATAATCTGGGTGACCCTTCCGTCAAATCAAGTTGACTTGACAGTGCTGACAATTTATTGCATGTTAATATGTGTTCATAAATAGTACAACAATACTATTAAAAAAGAAACTTACCATTTGCAATAAAGTAAAATACTAGAGCTAGTACGAATTTGAGAATCATGATGCTGGATTGCAACAAAACTAACAAGTGATTTCCTGTCTAGCACTTTATTTTATAGGTAAAGATATCAAAATTGCAGATAAAATTGATCACGGATATAGTAAATAATCACTATTATTAATTTTTAGTAGTTACTGTTCTCAGTAATAATTCAATCATCATCGTTTTATAAGAACTAATTGTAATCTTAATATGATAAATAATGAAAGAAATGGAAAAATGTTAAAGATAAAAATAAAAATCGTATTGATACTGGATTTATTTATTTTTATTTATTCTTTATTACTTTTATATATAAGTCTTGTACTTGAACTGTATCTAATAAGATAATCAAGATCATATTTTTAGTAAACAATCGAATAAAAAAAAATAAATTATTTTTAAAATTCGTAAAAATATTATTTAGTAGTATTTTCTAGAAAATTTTTGAAAAAAAGTCATGTTTAACGTTACAATTACAAAAAAAAATTAATAAAAAAATAAGCTATGATTTATTTTTGGCATAAAAATTTCAAAAAATTTAGGAAAAAAATATACGATTAAATAAAAGAAAAATTTCAAATTTGATTAATTTTCATCAACTTATATATCGACTTATATATGAATTTAAAAAACAAAATAATTAACAAAATTCTTAAAAATTTGTATCTCCTGATTAAATGTTCAAAAAAATTTGAAAATCAATCATGGACATTTTTAGGTAGATTTATTTAGAAATCTACCTGTTGTAGCCGGTCTCATGTCGTAATTTATGTATGTATTTTATATATATATATATATTATATGTGATATAACGCGCCATATCAGCAAGATTGCGCCCACAGTTCTCAACCGATCGTCATGGAATTTTGTGAGCTCATTCTGTGGATCAATACCAAGATCAAGTTCGAAGATGAGCAGAATCGGTCGGTTAGTTTATGAGTTGTGGATGTTTGAAAATTGTTTTTGGTTTTTAAAAAAATTAGAATTCCGTCAATTTTATGGAAATAATTTTTAAACTGTGGAAGATAATTCAAATCTATCGAATTTATCTTCAATTTCACGTAATTAGCTTTAATTTATGTTATTATTGGTCTAATTTTGATTATTTTTTGAATTCATCCTGCTACTTTAAAAATTTGAAAAAATTTTCCAATAGGTAGATGTATTTCGAAACTTTATCTTCAAATAATTCCTTAGCCGTTAAAGATAGCTTAAATCTATTAAATGAATGTTAAAGTTCACATAATTATTTTCACATTAAGCTTTTACTTGCCCACTTCAGATAATTTTTTTAAAATTTCTTTAGTAGTACGGAAAATTAAAAAAATAATCAAAATCGCGTTTTTTTAAAGAGTATAAAATGATACAGTGAAATATCAGCTAAATCAGAGTTGCAGAATTGAACAGTAAAAGGATTTGGCATGGAATGAGCCCTATATAAAATTTGTATTTATTAAAAAATGGGTAAAAAAGCTTTTTCTGCTCTCCGGCCGGAAAGTGGCAACTTTCTGGCCGCTGCGCTAAACAAAGTTGCCACATTCCGGCTACGTCGAGCAGAAAAATAGTATACACACCTTGGCCAGTAAAAAGTAAAGCCTCAGATCACATGTTTGTCAACCTCGGCTTCGCCTCGGCCAACAATTACATGTGATCTGAGACTTTTCTTATTTTACTGGCCTAGGTATGTAATATACTATAGAAGCTGGTCCTCCAGCCAGAAAGCGCCAACTTTCGGGCCGCTGCGCTGAACGAAGTTGCCGCTTTCTGGCTCTGTCGAACAGAAAAATAGTATACTGACCTTGGCCAGTAAATAAGAAAGCCTCAGATGATATGTTTGTCGACCTCAGCTTCGCTTCGGACGACAATTACATGTGATCTGAGACTTTTATTATTTTACTGGCCTAAGTATTATATGTAATATACTTATCAAAATTTTTAATCTTTTTTTTTTATGCTCTACGGGATCAGAAAAATTTTTTTCGATTAAACCAACAAATAAACAAGATAGCCTATTTATTTAACTTCAATTCCCATTTTTTATTTTTGTGTTACGTCCGTTTATGGCGGAGAAATCTTAAACTGAACGAAAAAAGATCTTTTTGTCTACATACATCGATATCTCAACAATCAGTGACCATACAGAAAATTGAAGGGCAATTTCGAAAACTGGAATAAATTTTTTAAAAAATTTGTTAAGACAATTGAAGAAAAAAAATTTTTTTTTTCATTCGCAATTTCAATTTGAAAACAATAAAAAAAATGACTTTTTTTTTATCCATCGAGGGTGTTTTTCAGATCTATTATTCAAAGTTTCGTAAAAAATAAAAGGAGCAAAGATTGCTCTTCAAATTTAACCCGCTAAAAGGTAAAGCTCTACTCTTAACCAACGTTTTGTTGGGAATGTCGTTAATAATATTTTCAGATTTTAGAATTCTTAATTAATAAAAATACAATTTTATAACAAAAGTACTATCAACGTTACTGCTTATTATTGAATCGTTCTTGCAACATACGATTTGGTTATGTATATGGCAAATTTCATAGCATGCTATTGGTGCATCAAGGGTAGAAAGTAATAAATTTTTCATTTACTAGAGTGACAATATTGGTTTTTTTTTTAGTTATATTTTTTTCAATTTAAACTTGATCGCCTCAATAGTAAAAATATTTTACTACAAAAGATTTGATGGAGGGAAGAAAAAAATAAAAAGATATTAAGTAATGCATGAAAACGGGTGAGATCTGCTCCGTGTTTTCCGATGCCGCGGGCGCCAAGGCGTCCTACATCTCCGGATAACATGTTAGTAAAGAAGTAATAGCCCGAATAACGCGTTTACCTTCTATTATTCAGTCCACACGTAAGAATATTACGCGCCAGCTGTCGCGTGAGAAAGTAAAAGTAAGTGTGAAAACATAACAAGAAAGCAGTTTAGATATAGATAGCTTCTACTTATTTATTGCAAAAGAAAGTTAGTTTTGATAGAATATCACAACAAATGTAAATTACAAAATAGAATGGCAATAATTAAGGATATTTGGGTTGAGATTATCTTTAGTATATCATCACACTGGGGCGTGTCCATACGTCACGGGAAGATCAAGCTAAGCTCAACGATCCCCGTGTGCACAGGATATCATGCTATTGAGAGTATCGCTGTTACTAGGATTATCTCTTCTAAATCGTGAGTTGCGCGCACACGCAACCTTTAGTGCATTTCACGTTTACTGAGATCGTGCTTGCGAGCGAGAAGGTGACTAATAAAGAAGAGTTGTGTAAGAGGAACTCATGAAGAGTTGGTAGGTTTTTTATATTTAAAAAAAAAAAAAAAAAAAATCACACTCATTGAATTAATAATTAAATTAAGAAAAATGGACTTGTGTGTACGTACGGATATGTAAATTATTCGTGACGCTCCCTGAGCGTATCCACAGTAAGATGGCAACCATACTTTACTCCATGTTTGAGACATTGTCCGTAAATCATTCCAAATGTCTGTATAACTTTTTAATCTATAAATTAAACATTCATATAATAATTGAAAATTTATATAATATTTTAATTAATTTTACTGATAACTAATTGATAACGTTGTAAGTTATAACAATGAATTAAAAATAAAATGTTTATTTTACCTGACACAGTCTGCGTGGTAACAGCCATCAGATTTTAAATGTATATCGACAGACCGCAAAACTTTATGTCGTTCAGCATAAAGATAAATTGAACCTTGAGTAACAATTACATAAGATTTCAACACAGGTGTGTTTGGTAAATCCCAGCCGCGAATATTTAATAACCAAGCTATTTCATCGAGAGCAGTTATAACCAATGCATCTGCTCCAAATAATTCCATTTTTAATCTAATTTGTCGTACTTTTTCTTGCCATGCTTTCCCAGCAAATTTTATTTCTAATGGATAAGCGGCGTATGTATTATTTTTTGGACGTCCGATTTGCCAAATTAAATCAATCAAATTGGTCGATATTGCTATGAGATTTACCGATGACTGTGCTACAAAAAATATTTTTTGATTGTTATTGATATTAATTAATTAAAAAAATAACTAAACAAATAATTATACCTAGTTCTTTTTCCCATGTTTCCCATACGAATGCTGGAATAAGCATTGGGTCTGCTCCTATTCTTACATCGGTACGGTTGCTGAATTCATTTCTCAACCACTCTGTTATAGATGGAACCTTGAATAAAATACAAATTCTGTTGGTTCGAAAAATGATTTTTTTTTTTTTTTTTTTTTTTTTTAATGAAATGTTTTGATCAAATTTATTCATTTGTTAAATATGCATTATATAAAATTTGGAAGTTTGAAAACTTATTAGGTGGAAGAAGTTTCAATTAGAAATTTTGCGGGGTAGTTCCGGAACTAATTAAATAAACGAAATGTTTAGTTGAGTAAGTAAGATTTTTTATCATTTATTTATAGAACTACTTATTTCAAATATTGACTCAAAATATAAATCACAAAAATATTTGGAAAAAAATTTTTTCTTTTTCAGTGTATGTTCAAAGTAGCAATTTACTTTAATATACCATTCAAGAAATTGCGACATTATTCTTAAAAATACTTATTATATTGCATATTTAATGTATCTAAAAATGTTATGAAGAATTTTGCTTCAAAATTAGGGCCAATTTATCAATCAATGATTACTATCGAATTATCATAGTTAATATATCTATACATTCTATGCATGTATAATATACATTGTACATAAGGTTCCTTAGAATTTCATTTACTTATTATCAAATAATAAAATTCTTAAATTTTTTTCACTTAAACATCAACAAGGTAAATTGTATACAAGCGAAAAAGAAAAATCACATAATATCAAATGATACAGTTTCGAAATTTTGTAACAGCAAAGTATGGATCAAAGCACGGTGATAAAACATCGTTATGACGATTACGGTGATAAAACATCGTTATCAAATTATTCAGTACAATCATTAGATATCTTTTCTTTATCAATTTTGAGACGAAGAAAATTATATTTAAAGTAGTCTGGATTAACGTACATGTTAGCAGTTTTCAATTTGATAATTGACATATAAGAGAATTAATGCAAAATAACTAGGAGCACTTGCATCTAAAACTAATTCAAAAATCCTGTTACTGGAAACAAAATCGTCAGAAACGATTATTTCAGAGCAATCTTTCTTCATTAATATCAATATTAGCTCCGTGATCGATCAAATGCATTAAACAATAAATTATATTACACTCTGTTGCTCGATGAATGGGATCCGTACAATGATAAAAAAAATGACTTGATTCAAGAAAAACTTTTTCTTCAAAATGTCATTCTTGTTTTAAGTAATTTAATTCTCATAACTTAAGGAATTGATTCTCGAATAAAGAAACTTGGTTGTTTGAAAATAAGATACATACAACTTCGCTCAAGAATTTATTTTTCTTGGATTAAGATAGACTGTAACATTGATTCAAGATATTACCGACTTGTTCCAAGTAGGGGAAGGGGGGGAGGGGCAAAGTGGGCCCCTTAAGGCCGGCGATACATGTAAACGCCTTAATTTTTACTGTTTTTTGAGGACTTTATAAACTGGGAAGGAATAACTGAATCATTTTAAAATTTTGTGGGGTTATTTATTACATATTCAAGTACAGAAAAAATTTTTTTTTATTTTTTTTTTCAAAATGGCCGCCGTAAAAATGAATCTGCCGAGATCCTCTCAGAAAAAGACATCAGTTTGCGGGCGTTCTCACTTCTCGTACGGTGATCTGAAATTAAAAAAATTAGTTTGTACGTATTCATAAAACATATATCTTCTAGTTAAACCACAAAAAATCAAAAAAAGTCAAAAAATCGTAAATTGGCACACCTCAGAAAAAAAGTTCGATTTTTTACCCTTTTTTTCAATGGTTTTTTGGTAAAAATGGTTAATTTTTGAAAATTTTTTTGGAATTTTTGAGGTTTAACTAGAAGCTATTACTATAAAGTACACATGTAAAAAATTTCATTAGAATCGGTTGAGAACTTTTTGAGTTATCCCGCCCGCAAATTTCAAAAAAGTCGTTTCGAGAAAAACGCGTTTAAAGTTTTGACACACAGAAACAGTATGATTACAGTGGCTTACCGATTAATCAGCGATTCCAGGGCCATATAGAAGTCCTTCGGTACGTTCATAAAACTCGTTTTTCTTTGTAAGTTCCTGTAGACATGCTTGACGAGCTTGTTTGGTCGTCAAAGAGCTGCGGCGATTTTCTCGACTCACCCTTTGATCATCGATTTTTTCTCTGTACGACATGCATTGGCGGCCAATAACTATTTGCATTGAGTTCATAACTCGTAAGATAAAGTTAAATCCATCATTGAACAACCCTGCAGATATAAAAGCACTATAATTTCTACGATCTTCAGTCCAGAGTTCAGATGTTTTGGACAGAGTCGCCAGACAGTAGAATTATAACATTCATTTGCATTCTGAGTGTGACCACCTAAACATCTTTCAAGCAAGTGTATCGCTTTACATGTATCGCCGGCCTTAAGGAAAAATGGTCATATCCGTACTTTTTTTTTACTCTTTGCACTACTTTTTAGCCCCTTGTTTGTAATTCAACATTGATAAGCTGTGACCATTAAAATAAAAAAAATCTAGAATGTGGGGCAAAGTGGACCCCCTCCAAAAATTTTGTCATAAACATTTTTTTCGCACATTTTGAAAGCTTTGAGATGATTTTTTTCAGACGAGTAAAACTTTCGCACATGAGCAATAACCCATACAAAAAATGATGATCGGCCCGATACTGGGCCAAGACTGGTAACCGATCCTTAAGTATCGGCTGAGTACTGTGAAATATCGTTGGGCCAAGACTGGGCGAGTATCGGATGGTAACACCCAGCCGATATAGGCGACTGAGCATCGGCCGAACATAGGCAAAAAATCAAATTTTATGTAAAATAATTAAAAAAAATTTTTTTTCGTTGTTTATTTTTGAATTATTATTATTCTGAGGTGATGGACTACTGGTTGATAGAAATTAATTCTGAAAAAATTCGGATGTGAAGGGATTTGAACCTGGTTCGTCTGCGTAGAAGTCTCGAGCGGTGCCACGGGCGCTGCTAACATTTGAGTGTCGTATGCTTAGTTGAATTATTTCAATGTTCAACAATCAATTTTTCTCAGTATAATTGAGTTAACTTGATTGTTGTTACGAATTTTTCTATTCATTTCATAATTGAACGATTTCTGAATTTTAATAATAAAAAATAACTTCCTAGTTTTTTAAAACTTCATTTTTTAAGCAAGAAGTTCAAACTTAATTAAAAATAAATGATTTATTAGTAAATAAATATATATATATTTATATTTGTATATTTTTATTTATATTCATAAATCTATTTGTAAGTAAATAAATCATTTATTAAAAATCATTAGTTTTTTGCTAAAATATTTTTTTTTTAATACTAAAAGAAATAGGTTTAACTGATTGCGTAATGTAAAAATTTATCGAAAAAGTCCTCTAAAAAAATATTCATTATTGATTAAATCTGTTTTAGTGAAAACAAATGTTGATTTAATCTTAATAGAGCTTGTTAAATAATAAAAATGTTTATTAAAAACTAAAAAATGATCAATATATATTTTATAAAAAAAAAACATTGTTAATAATTTAAATTGGTGTTTTCTTCTTAAAAAATCTCGTAAGATATTTTTTAAAATTGATTTACTAATTTTTAGTACATATTAGTTTAGAATTTGGTCAAACGTTAAATGAAAACAATAATACAACATAGTAATGACTAACACGTATTAATTGTTTTTAAGTGTAATCAAAAATTAGCCAGAGCATCGGCCAAGCAATGGCTGATAATCAAATCACATACCATCATATTATAATAAATATCGTGCGGTAGCCGATGGCTTACCTAGACTAGGCCAGTACAAATCGCCAATGCTTGGCCAAGCATTAAAGCCGATGGTTTACCGAGGCTAGGCCGATACAAAACGCCGATACTTGGCCGAGCATTAGTAGCCGTGCCTTGGCCAATGAACGGAAATTGTTGAGCATCGGCAACTTCGTATGGGAAGATGCCTTTTTCGATAAATTTTTTCTTGATCCCATGACGAAAATTTGTTTGAAACATTCTAAAAAAAATTCTTTGAAAATTTGAGCCTTCCAATATTACTATGAAGAGCTCCATCAAGCCCTGATTAAAAATATTGATTGAAAAGTATTGGGAATCAGTCACTCCATGTAAACTGTATATCTATATATATACATGAAAAAGAATTGAAAGTATTCAAAAGTATTCAAATTTCATCATTTTTTATCATTTTCAATCAATATTTTTAACCAGGGAGGTGTAAAAAGATTTCCCATTAAATATACGAGTAAAACTCGAGTTGTTTCCTTAAATTTTCACAGCTCAGCAGCATTTCATAGCATTATTTCAATCAAAGATAGGTTATTTTACTTAGAATTGAATGCTTCACAAAACTCCCCATCGTTTGCCCCCAAAATTTTGAGACCTTTTAAATTTTAGGGGGGCCCACTTTGCCCCCCCCCCTTCCCCTATGGCACGACTCTTGAACTAAGATATTATTTTACTTGTTTTAAGCATATAAATTTTTGTATTTTTGCTATTGTCTGTATTAATAAATATTTTTCGGCATATGGGTCATTCTCAGTTAAGACGTAAAAATCGCTTATTGATAAAACGCGGCACGATAAAAAATTTGAAAATCCTTTAGTAAAAAGTTGATGTGACGTTTTCATTGTTGTCGCTTTTCGTTGCCATGGTAACCGTTGCTATGGTTACCGTCGCCATAGTAACCCCTGCTATGGTAACCGTTGCTATGGAAACCGTTGCTATGGTAATTGTTGTCATAGTAACCGTTGCTATGGTAATTCTTGCCATAGTAACCGTTGCTATGGTAATCGTCGCCATAGTTACCGTTGCTATGGCGAAATTTTTCCATGAAAATAATGTAGTGGTAAAATTTGATTGACTGAATAAGTGAACACGGAAAAAAAAGATGATTTAAAAATTGCACCACTGATGATGTAAAAATCCGATTGTACGAGTGGCGTTAGTTTTGGTTTGAGGTGATACAAATATTGTATCACCGTGATGTAGATTTTATATCACAATGAAGTAAATTATGCGTGCGCTACATGCATGCGCCTGAATATTGTATAGGTTATATTTGTTGT